ATACAACACCCAGTGCTCATCACAAGTGCCCTCCTTAATCCCCATCATCCATTTAGGCCATCCCCCCAGCCCCTCACCTCCAGTAACCCTCAGTTTGTTCTCTCTATTTAAGAGTCTGTTTTCTGCAGCGTGGAGGTTCCTCAAAAAGTTGAAAATAGAGCTACCCTACAACCCAGCAATCACACTACTGGGTATTTACCCTAAAGATACAAATGTAGTGATCCAAAGAGGCACGTGCATCCAAATGTTTATAGCAGCAATGTCCACAATAGCCAAACTATGGAAAGAACCTAGATGTCCATCAACAGATGAATGGATAAAGAAGATGTGGTGTGTACACACACACACACACACACAATGGAATACTATGCAGCCATCAAAAGAGAGAAAATCTTGCCTTTGCGATGACATGGATGGAACCATAGGGTATTATGCTTAGCGAAATAAGTCAATCAGAGAAAGACAATTATATGATTTCCCTGATATGAGGAAGTTGAGAGGCAACATGGGGGGTTTGGCGGGTAGGAAAGGACTAAATGAAAAAAGATGAGATCGGGAGGAAGACAAACCATAAAAGACTCTTAATCTCCCAAAACAAACTGAGGGTTGCTGGGGGGAGATGGGGAGGGAGAGAGTGGTTGGGTTATGGACATTGGGGAAGGTATGTCCTATGGTGAGTGTTGTGACGTGTGTAAACCTGGCAATTCACAGACCTGTACCCCTGGGGCTAATAATACATTATATGTTAATAAAAAATAAAATTTTTTTAAAAAGTCTGTTTTCTGGTTTGCCTCTTTTTCTCCCTGTATGTTCATCTATTTGTTTCTTAAATCCCATATATGAGTGAAATCATATGGTATATGCGTTCCTCTGACTGATTATTTCACTTAGCATAATACTCTCTAGCTCTCTCCATGTCAGTACAAATGGCAAGATTTCATTCTTTTTGATGGCTGAGTAATATTCCATTGTGTATATATACCACATCTTCTTTATCCACTTATTCATTGATGGACATCTGGGCTCTTTCCATAATTTGACTATTGTTGATATTTATATTCATTAGTAAAATGGGTGTTTAATATGCTTTTCTCATACTGTCCTTGGCTAGTTTATATATCAAGATTTTATAGGTCCCCCAAAAGGGAAACAGGAAATGGCTAATATTTCTTGTTTTTTGGTCTCTGAAAGAATTTGTAGAAGATTCAAATGATGTGTTTCTTGAAAGTTTGGAACTTGCCAATAAAATCATGTAGGCTTCGAGTTTTCTGTGAATATTTTTAACTACTGCTTCAACTTTTTAAGTCTCTGCTTTATCTATAGTTATGTCTCCTTTTTCATTCATGCAATTATCTGTGTCTCTTCTCTCTTTTTTTATTAGTCTGTTGTGAGGTGGTGTTTCAATCTTGATTTTCTTTTACCTTTGTGTTTTAGTTTGCTGATTTCTGCTCAAATTTTTAGTATTTTAGTATTCTAGGTTTATTTTGGATTTATTCTGTATTTTCCTAATTTTTAAGCAGAGCATATAGTTCCCAGACAAATAAAATAAAGTTTGCCTTATTGAAATTTTCATCCCCTTAAGTGGATGTCCTTGGGTCTGGAAGGATTCCAGCAGATTTTCTGACCCAGAAGGGGTCAGTAACTGAGACCGGCTCCTTCTCTTGCTGTTGTAGTCCCTGTAACACAAGACCTGTTATTGTCTGAGGGGCACTTTCCTCCCTAAGACTGTTTCAGAACATGTGCTTGATATTTCACTGTGCCCTTGGCTTAACTGGTCACTTTTTTTTCTTCTAGTACTATTTATTAGATCAAAGAACTGTCAGGGTGTGACAGTTGGAATTTAGAGGATGTAATCTCTTGTGCTTCAGATTAGGAATCCACAGAAGTGAGGGGGGTGGGGGTGTCCAGTGACACCATCGCTGAGGAACAGAGTGAAACCCAGGTCATGAGACTTTCTAGCCCGTGCTCTTTCCACTGAACCAAGCATTCCTCCACACACGAGTGTTCATTTTACAAAATGGCAGATCCTAATGACCTTGTTCAATATGATCAGTCTATGCATCCTCTCTTTGTGATTCTAGAAACTGCAGTTGGGAAAAACATGACGTCAGTAAAACTATGCAGCTTGCTTGCCCCAAGACTGCTTGTGTGTTTTGTAGTGCTTACTATCATCGATTCACTGCTTATTTGTTCCTGTATGTCCCAAGGATTTGTGCTGTAACATTTCAGCATGGACATTGTCTCTCTTTGGATAGTTTTCTTTCTACCTTTTGACTTCTGAGAATGAGTACAGCTCAAGAATGGGAAATAGTGAAAGAGATGGGGGCATGGGGATAAATAAGCAAATGACAACTTATCCTCAACTTTGCAGCACAGACCCAGTATTTTTTTTTATGTGCAACAGTTGACAATATTCTTGTTTCTGAAGAAAAATAAAATCCATATGCTTGGAAATGATGTATCTTTCATGCTCATTTTAAAGGAAAACTTGGCATTTATCTTAATTTTGCTGAAGTCTTTTTAGTATCCCTTCTGGGCTGTTAATATTTTTTTTTTTGAAGACATGTCCTAGATTATGAATTGGTTTGCATGGGGCAGAGGTCTCCCTGAAACCCCTTGTTCTTCATAGCCTCAAGAGAGGTGTTGCACAAGTTCTAAACATTCTGGGTTTGAAGCCAAGGGTTTGGTGGCTATGTTGCTTTTGCAGCTGTGGTTTAAATTAGAAACATTCTACCTTCTCAACAGAAAGTTTACAGTGATCCAGATTTTTTTAAAGCTTTTTATAGCATGTAATTTCCAGAAGAAGTAGATTGGCTTCAGCTTATTTGATTCAGAATAAATGAATTACAACAAAATTTAGATTAAAGAGAACTGTACCTTTGAGAGTATTTCTATAACAATCAATCTCATCATTAAGATGGAGTATACAATGAATTTAAATTTATGTTGTTACTTTAAGTAAATATCTCCTTTATTCTCCCCTCATGTCTTCGGGTATTTTTTTAAATTGTTTTAAAATATCCAGATATTTTAAGATGTATGTAAATCCTGGCCATGATTGGGAGCAGAACAGCAAAGAGATTATAGGCAGTTCATCCATGTTTTGGTGTAGTCAAAATGATCCTAAACCTACTAAGCATGAGCTTGGAGGCTTAGCCCACTACTAATCTTACTGAATACACAAAACATGGCACATATGCATTTTAAGAGAACCTTTTTCATGTGGGATTCTACACTGTATAGCCTTATACCACACCAGATGTAGGATTCCATTTAAAGGGTGCAAGAAAATTATTTCGCAAGATGCCATTCCAAAGAACTCAAATTTTATTGTATCACTGGTATTGATCATCTGCATGGGGAAATTTCCAGATGATTCATGCTGCATTGGGATTATTGTGGCCTTTCCTAATCCTCACTTTTCTATCCAGGTTTTAGCTTTTGGAAAGAAAGCTGGAGACACTTTTTGTGTTCACAATGTTGAGATTGGGATGCAGGGTAACAGAGTTTGCAAGGACAGATCTTATGTGGGCTGTACACCCAACTGTGGCCCATTTTATCCATGTGATTGAATTGGTTACTTATTTTCTCCCTTATAAATCTATTTCCTTATCTGTAAAATAAGAATAATATCACCTGATACTAGGTTTGTTATCAATATCGAACAAGAGAACAAATGTAAAGCAGTTAACGCAGGGCATGACACAGAGTAAAGGCTCAACAAATGTTGGAATTTGTTGTTATACGCATTGGTAGAAAATGTGTAGATATTACAACTTGGTTTTCATTTTGGGCAATCCATGTTAGGACTAACATTCCTCTAAAATAAAAGGGTTGAACTAAAAACAACCTCTTATGAGCCCCTTCCAGTTCACTGATTACCTCGGAATAGGATTGATAAATTGACTTACAGCCTGAAAAGTTTATATCATCTAGGCTTATGAAGGAATACATCAGAGTTCCAAATTCCAGAATGTCAGAGGGATGATGGAGTAGGTGAAGCAATGGGGATGGAATTTTGAATGGCACAGGTCCCTTTTCTGAAGGGATGAAGTACTAAGCCCTAGAAGTCTGCCTGACTAGCCTCACGGCTAGTACCAAGCACTAGGAGTGAGACAGCCCTATATAACTTTGCAAATTCATGTTTGGGTAAGAATTCAGCAAGAAACAGATACTAGTTCACTAATATGCATAAACTGATTTTTCACTGAGTGGATGAATGAATGAATGAACCCATCCTGCTTCATGAAAATATTTATTTTCAGTATCTTTAATATTTTATTTAATTCTATGAAATGAATAATTCTAGGGGGCCAAAAATGCTTTAGGTCAAAGTGGAATTGGAAAACCCTTGCCTCACACAGTTCTAGGTACTTGGAAGCAAGATGGCGCAAAATGAGTCATTTGGGAGGATCAAGATATTGAGATGGAAAATGGAGGGCACTACTTTTATGTCTTCCCTCAAATTTAGGGATAAAGATAAATGGTTAGCTTTTTAATTGTTTAGGAAAAGGAGAAAAACAAGGAGTTTTGACAACATCTAAAAATGCGTACTGCTCAAATATGAAACACACCTACATGTTCATTACAAGTCAAGTCTTAGACTGTGTCCCAGCCATGAACTCTGAATTGTCTTGGCAGTAAGTGGACCCAGGGTAACACTAGGGTACAGGGAAAATGACTAATAGAGACACGAAATGTTGTTGGAACTAGAATGTATTTGGCTATTGCCATTGACAATCCAAAATTTCATGTTTCTACAGGATCTTAGACCGGGAAAAACTTATATGATTGTGTAAATGTTTGTGGATCTTTTTCCCCAAGGTACTTCATGAATCAGAAACTCAGAGATTCTATGCCTTCTATTGCATCCAGTTTGCTATAAAATTTTGTGTGCTCTTAAGTGTGGGACTTTATTCCAAAATAATATCCACAACAATTTTAGGTGTTTATGTTTTTGCCTTTCAGATTTCAAGCTGGAGATTTTTTTAGGTCATAATATGAAAATGCTGCTGATTTTGTTCCTTATAATAACTTGTTCCCATGTCTCTATGAGCAAAGATCCTGGTAAGTTTAAAAAAAAAAAAGAAGAAGAATTATTTTCCTCAAGTTTTGTAAAGATGTGGATGGTAGCTCAATTTCTTTTTGATGTCAACCTCTTTTTCTTTATAGATCATTTGTTTCTGGACCTTATTCCAGATATGATATGAGAGCTGTTATTTGTCCTCAATTTCAACCCTTTTAGGTCTGTTGGGAGTTTGCATCTCTTAATATTAGATTCAGGCCTAGGAAATTTGGCATGTCTCTTCCTAGTTCATTTGTGCCAGAACATTGTCTTAGTTAAGTATCCAGATTCTGCTTCAGTTTAAACTGTTTGCTTATTGTAAAGAAAGAGCTCTTGCTCTTTAGAGAAAGCTCCATTGCTGTCTACTATCTGTCAGTAATCTTTGCCTGGTGGACAAGAAGTCAAAATACTGGTGTACCCTTTGCTGCCCCTCCCACCTCTATGTGGTGAGTTCTCATACTGGCCACTTCATGTCCAAGGCCAGCTATATTGGCTTTCATGGCTTTCTCAAGGACTCTGACCTTGGAAGGAGGTCAAGACCTTCTGAAGAGAGAAACTAGACATTGTTCTGTAAACCTCTTCCTTTGCTATCTCACTATGCTTGATATTAAGCTTTTTAAAGAGAAGCAGTGCTTTTTGCTCACTGTCCCATGGTTCAGACATGATGTCGGCCCGTATCAGAACCTGAATCTATCTCATGTGCTAGTTGTCCACATTTCTTTTCTCCACGTGAGGTGTGGGGTTTATTCATGAATAGAAAGGTCACTTTTGGTCACAAGTCAAGCCATCCTGGACAGGGCTCCCCTGACAATCCTCATAGGGGTTCCAGCCTTCTCTTGGAAGACAATGTTAATTCACCCTCACTTATTTCTTCCCCTCAAGTCACTGCTGGCTATATGGTCATCCAAGGAGTCTCAAACTGGTTGAAATTAGATTCTTCAGAAGCTAGGAAAGAATATTATCCTCTGTGCTTTGGCCAGACTGCTGTCAAGGGAACAGAATCACACGTGGGGTGGGGGTGGGGGGTTGCTGATGCTGGTTTCCTAGCAATTGTAGACAGGAAGAGGATGAAGTTATTTTAATTTGATTAGAATTTATCTGGTAACCACTTGAGCTCATCAGAATCTGAGTGAGGAAGGACTGTAGATATTTCCTAGTTGAATCCACTCATTTTAAAGGTGAGGAACCAGAGGCCCAAGTATGTTAAATAGTTTGACAGAGCAGGTGGAGTTAGCTGATAACAAAGTCAGGACTCCTGTTCTTTGTTCCATTTCACCATATTTTCTTAAATCCGCACCATCAAATAGACCTTTCCTTCCCTTCCCCAGACAGGAAATGGATCTTCTACCAAAGTGGTGAGAACTCTGAATTCAAACCAGCAGATGACTAGTAAACAACATTTTGTGCTTAAACCCAGTGATTCCCTATCACATAAAAATCTAATTCTATATAGCTAACATTGAACCTGACATTGAATGAAGCCTTAAAATTTCAATGAAGTATTATATCCCTATATAAAAATTATGTTTTTAATAGGAGCTAAAACCATAATCCCTTTCCTAGCTTAAGGCCTTCTAGTTTCTATCAAGTTTTACTTACATAAGAAGAAATCCACCAACAATAATGCCCATTCCTATGGTTCATCCAAAAAATATTATAAAGAACTTTAAATTTGCCACATTTTTGTAATTGTTAGGTATTTTTTAAACTTCATCAATTTAACACTTGGGAATACAAAACTACTATGTGTATAAGTTAATCAGATCACTGTTGCCTTGCTAAAAGAGGAATTACAATGAAAGAGTATCATTCAGATTTCTCCATTCTAACAAATTCAAAGCAATGCAATTCTCATTTAAAATTTTTATTCTCTTGATATAAATGGAGATCAAATTCTGAAAGCAAAAAAGGTGGAGTGAATCAGTCACTAAATGTATAAAAACCCAGGATTTTTTACTTCTCTAAATTTATCTAATTAATTCCGTACAAAATTGATGCTTAATTTGTGATGAGTTTAAATAAAAGGGTCTATGGAAGGAATCAGTCCAAGAAATAGATTTCTTTTCTTGGGAAAATGTGTAATTTCCGGTTATTATTTCCAGTTTATTGGAAAAATATTAAAAATACAAATAAAGGAAAGTAGGTTTTTCTACAAATGGTTGGCATTAAACAGGGTGGTAATTTCTAAAATTTTTGCTTTGTTTCTATGTTTCTGGGTTCGTAGGCCCTGAGTATGCAGACGTGGTGTTTCTGGTGGACAGCTCGGATCACCTGGGAACTAAATCCTTCCCCTTCGTGAAAGCGTTCATCAACAAGATGATCAGCAGTCTGCCCATAGAGGCCCACAAGTACCACGTGGCCCTGGCCCAGTACAGTGACCAGTTCCACAACGAGTTCCAGCTGAGCACCTTCAGGAGCAGGAACCCCATGCTGAACCATCTCAAGAAGAACTTCGGATTCATGGGCGGCTCCCTGCGCATCGGCCATGCGCTTCGGAAGGCGCGCAGGACCTACTTCTCTGTGCAGGCCGGCGGGAGGGACAAGAAGCAGTTTCCCCCGATTCTGGTAGTGCTGGCTTCCGCGGAGTCCGAGGATGACGTGGAAGAGGCCTCCAAAGCCCTGCGGGAAGACGGGGTGAGAATCGTGTCCGTGGGGCTGCAGGGTGCTTCCGCGGAGCAGCTAAAGGCCATGGCCACGGCTCAGTTTCATTTCAACCTCCGGGCAGTCAGGGACCTTGGCGCATTTTCCCAAAACATGACGCAGATCATCAAGGAAGCCACCCAGTACAGGGATGGAGCAGTGGATGACATTCTTGTGGAAGGTGGGTTTAGGTCACGTGTATAGGAATGATTAAATGCTTTTGAAAAATCAATATGGAGAGAGGATTGTAAGGATGAACACCCCTTTCCTCCAAAGCCTGGGCTTCTGTTGCTATGTAGTCTTATTACTGGTTCATTTGAAAGGTAAATGTGTTCTTAAATCCTTGCCTGCTGAAACCACATAATGCAATCTCAGAATGCTAGGGCTAGAAACAACTTTAGGTAAGCCAAACTCCTGCTTCTGCTGAGAGAAGCTTGCAGGGATCATTTGAGATGACATGGCCCGGCCCCACATGGGGCTGCAGTTGGACATCGGGTAGATCAGGCCCCTGGATTCCCCAGGCCCTCGGTCCTACAACCACATACTGCCTCCCTTCTGCAGCTCTTCTCTGGCCGAGCTTCCCTGTGTTCTGTTCCAACTCCAAGCTGCTGTCCAGGTCTGTCCTCTTGTATTAACGAGGATGACGGGGGGTTTATGAACCTCATTCAAGTGAGGGGCAGGAGAGAGCCAGTAGAAAACAATTTGCTCAAACTGTACAAGTATCAGTAAGTAACATAGGAAACTCATATTATTGCCAGGTAGATCTGTTTGAACGAGACAGTAGAATTGTCTATTGATAATGGAGAATGCTTTTCTTATTTATTCTAGGAAAACATGAATCCTCTTATTAAACTCTTCCCCACATAAAATAATGCAAAGTGCAATTTCTAGTCCATTACAATACCTTAGGAATATCTGGACTCTACCTACTGATTTTAGTGATGTTTTAATTACGATCACAGTAGCAGCTGTTCACTGAGCGAATTTTATGTATGGGGCCGCATGCTAAGCATGTTATCACATGTGCTCTCCATCACAATTTCCTGAGATAAATGCTGTTTTCATAGATAAGGAAATTAAAGCTGGGAGCTGAGCTTTGATCTAGGATTTGAATCTAGGACCTTGTGATCTCAGCTTCATGATCCTTTTGTGCACAGCATTCTTTCTTTAAGTGTGTAACCGGGTTCTGGTAGATGTTCTCCGTGCCTTATAATGCTGAGTAGGGATGCCAGACCTCCAGCTAAAGTTGTGCCTGTTCTTTCTTTGTCCATACAGTTTGCCAAGGCCCGTCTGTGGCTGACGTGGTGTTCCTGTTAGATGTGTCTGTCAATGGCAGCCAGGAGAACTTTGACTACCTCAAGGAATTCCTGGAAGAGAGTGTATCTGCTCTTGACATAAAGGATAACTGCATGAGGGTTGGCCTGGTGACCTACAGCAATGAGACGAAGGTGATAAATTCACTCAGCAGGGGCGTAAATAAGTCAGAGGTTCTCCAGAATATACAGAACCTCTCTCCCCAGGCTGGGAAGGCTCACACAGGAGCTGCCATCAGAAAGATCAGGAAGGAAGTGTTCAGCGCACGCAACGGCAGTCGGAAAAATCAGGGGGTGCCCCAGATCGCCGTGCTGGTGACCCACAGACCCTCAGAGGATAACGTGACTAAGGCGGCCGTTAATCTCCGGCGCGAGGGCGTGACCATCTTCACCATGGGCATCGAGGGGGCCAGCGACAGCCAGCTGGAAAAGATCGCCTCTCACCCCGCCGAGCAGCATGTGTCCAAGCTGAAAACCTTCTCCGACCTGGCTGCTCACAACCAGACGTTTCTGAAGAAGCTGCGGAACCAGATCACGCACACCGTCTCTGTTTTCTCTGAACGCACGGAAACTCTCAAATCCGGTAAAGTCCTTAGCTGAGAGAAGGGTGATTCAGAGCCTTTCTCTTTTCTCCTGTCACTCAGGTATCCTAAATAGAGGAAGGGTTGGCAGGGGGTGCTGTGGATAGGGAGAATAAGTTCCCAACTCCTTACCTTCGCTTGCTCATACAAAGTGTAACCTGGGGGAGAAGGGAAGCCGTTGAGGTCCTGGGATGGGGAGGAGGGATTTCCTTTTTTATGTGGTCTCGTGGGCAGCTTTACCAGGATTCTCTATGACTTCTAAACATCCCAGAATGCCATCCTTTTTTATTTGATTGCCTTTTACTTTTTACTTTTTCTCCTTTGCCTCTCATGTTCCCCTGCTCTTTCCTATACTGTTTTCTTTTTGAACTTTTCTCTCCTTTTCTCCCACCATCCTCGAATTCCAACTTGGAAAAGAAACCGGAAGCATGATTTGGTTTGAGGACAGAGTAGTTTGCTGTGAGGGGCTATTCTGCAATCTGTGAGTTTGGAGAGACGGAGAGTGATGCATTTTAAATATTTCATATATATAATTGATGTGTGCCTTTATATGTAGACATCAACAAATAGTTCTAGCATGTTTACTATCAAAGTGTCCTTGTTCTATGCAAATAAGGCCACTGACAATACCTCTAGGTTTGTGAATTGGCTAGGAGTAGATGGGGGGGGGGTCTATAGTGTGTTTAAGTTTTCAAGAAAGAAAACTTGTTGGTCCACAATATCCCATTAAAGACCTTCTGTTTCCCAGCATACCACTTGCCTGCTTGCTAAGCTGTTATTCGCTAATGGGGAAAGTGACTTGTAAAAATCATCTTCAAGTTTTCTTTCTGATCTTTTATTGTATCCAGATTTGCTCTAATTCATGGCAGAGAACTATTCAAATAGTCTTAAACTGTCAGAAGCAATTCATTTGGCCCCAGTAATGCTATGATTTCCTTACATTAGGCTAGCAGTATCTTTTATGCCTAGAAGCTGTTTTCCATTTTTCTGTCTGAAGACGCTTCCATTGTTCTGCTTCCCATCTATCCCCAGTCCCTCTTCACACTTGCCTCTGGGCCACAGCCAACTGTATGGTTCCATTTTAGGTTGTGTGGATACCGAAGAAGCAGACATTTACCTTCTCATCGATGGCTCTGGAAGCACCCAGGCCACAGACTTCCACGAAATGAAGACCTTCCTGTCTGAGGTGGTAGGGATGTTCAACATCGCTCCCCAAAAGGTGCGGGTTGGGGCTGTCCAGTACGCTGACAGCTGGGACTTGGAATTTGAGATCAATAAATACACTAACAAGCATGACTTGGGAAAGGCCATCGAGAACATCCGGCAGATGGGTGGGAACACAAACACGGGTGCAGCCCTGAATTTCACACTAGGACTCTTGCAAAAAGCGAAGAAGCAGCGAGGAAACCGAGTGCCCTGTCATCTTGTTGTCCTGACCAATGGCATGTCCAAGGATAGCATCTTGGAGCCTGCGAACAGACTGAGAGAAGAGCTCATTCGTGTTTATGCCATTGGGGTCAAGGAGGCCAACCAAACACAGCTGCGAGAAATTGCAGGCGAGGAAAAGAGGGTATACTATGTGCATGACTTTGATGCTTTGAAAGACATAAGAAACCAAGTTGTTCAAGAAATCTGTGCTGAAGAAGGTAGGGGACATGGTGGCTTTGCCTTTTGATTTCAGCTCCTAAATTACCTTCCTGCAGTATGACATCCCACGCTTAGAGAAACAGCATGAATTTCTAAGTCAAGGTTTGTTGACTTGTGTAGCTACATTTGTTCTCCAGAGAAAAACTAGGAGCCCATTATAGTGTTGTTCTAATTAATATCAGAAGCATACGAAAAGATATTTGGAGGTGTTCTCCCTAGTAAATATCAGTTAGCCTCTTCCCACAAATCCCTGCTGGGATAGACCTATAATTAGACACCACAAATGATTTCTGATTTTGAAGGAGTAGCTCAGGTTATTTAAATTGCTTTTTAATAAAACTTTTATGAAACCTTTTACAGCTGTATCAGTAGTCTTCAGCCAGGGGTGATTTTTTGCCCCTTGGGGGATACTTGCAATATCTAGAGAAATTTTTGGTTGTCATAACTGAATGACAGACATAGTTTGAATGTTATGATGATGACATAGTTATGAATGACTATGAATGACAATAGATGCTCCTGGCATTTAACAGGTAGAGGTCGGGATACTGCTAAGTGTGCATGCATTATAGGATACTGTAGGAATGCTCTCCACAATAAAAATGATCCAGCTCAAATTGTCAATAGTGCTCAAGTTAAGATATCCTGAATCATATATTAATAACAAATAACAAATAGAGTAGTCTCACTTTTATTGCCTTCAGTGCTTTATTTACTTGCTAGCAATCCTTTCCAAGCTCACACTTAACTTCAATATAGAATTATTTGTCTTTTGGATTTTCTTGTTTACCCTTAACCTTTTTACCTGAAGCTACCTTGAATAAGTGTCTTGCCTTCTCCCCTACAGCCTGCAAAGAGATGAAAGCAGACATCATGTTTCTGGTGGACAGTTCTGGCAGTATAGGACTTGAAAACTTCATCAAAATGAAAACATTTATGAAAAACCTGGTGAGCAAATCTCAGATTGGGGCAGATCGGGTACAAATTGGCGTAGTCCAGTTCAGCGACGTCAATAAGGAGGAATTTCAGCTCAACAGATATATGTCCCAAAATGAAATTTCAGATGCAATAGACCGGATGACTCACATTGGAGAAACGACCTTGACCGGTAGTGCCCTGACCTTTGTGTCTCAGTACTTCAGCCCTGCTAAGGGGGCCCGGCCCAATGTCAGGAGGTTTCTCATCCTCATCACTGATGGTGAAGCTCAGGACATAGTCAAGGACCCAGCAGTAGCACTTCGACAAGAAGGCATAATTATCTACTCAGTGGGGGTATTTGGTTCCAATGTCACCCAGCTCGAGGAAATCAGCGGGAGGCCCGAGATGGTATTTTATGTTGAGAACTTTGATATTCTGCAGCACATTGAAGATGACCTTGTTTTTGGAATATGCAGCCCCCGGGAAGGTAGGTGTGGGCATATGCACTGGCAGGATTATCCAAACGTATGTCCGCATTAGCCATTCTGTCTGGAATTAAGTAAACTATTTGAACATCGCAAACTTTGTGTTTAGTTGAAATGTTCATCCTAGTGGGTTTTGACCTACATGTAAAAAATGCACCTTTCCTCAACAGAACTGTTGGATTTATACAGAACAATTTTGGTCCGCCTAGATCGTTTCTCGTTTGTAGACAGAGAGCACTAAGGCTATATCTTAGGTCTGGTTCCCTGGAAGCAGGAGCTGCGTCAGGGGTTCTTATGGAAGTGACTTGTTGAAGAGGCATTTTCAGAAGAGGTGTAAGGGATGCAGGATAGGGCACACGTTAAGCACTAAGCAAAGAAGTGGCCTCAGCTAGAGTATAGCTTCAGCCCGATCCCCTGGGGAACCCTAAGCATGAATTATACCACAGAGTCCGCCCACCTGGAGGCAAGGGGCCAGCCTCCTATAACCTGTATCCTTGGGCCCCGTGTGAGGCAAGCCGTACAAAAGCATAACCTGGGCAAGGTGGCTCCCCTTTGACCTGACGTCCAATGTAGACGTTTGTTTTACAATATTTGAAAATGAATACTTCCATAAACTTGAGATGATGTTGGTATAAACACTGTGATATTAAATCCTATAAAAGAGGAGTATAGTATGGGAACTTGAACCATGGATGCCTCAAAGGAAGTAAATAGCTTGAAAATGTAAATGTCCTTCTTCCATGAAACCGCAGAGTCATGCAAGTGATGAAACAAGTTTAGCAAAGGGAAGGGACGGATTTGCACTGTGATCCATGGGGCCTGATGACAGGCATTCTGAAAAATCTCTACGAAGGATGTGGATCTTAATGGAGTTTTGAGGAGAGAGAGGAACCATGATTTTCAAGGAACAGTTCTGTTCATTTTCCACTGGAAGTTTTGGTGATTGTAGTCTGTGCTCTGTAGAAAATACACCTGGATTGTGTTTCCTGATAATTCTACTCAGAACAAATCTGAACTCTTCAAAGTGTGCCAACACTGAGAATCCACCCCCCCACCCCCCCCCCCCCCCCCTCCGCAGCACCAGCTCAGTCCCTTGGGTAATCCAGGCAGGCTTCTGAGGGCAGCAAAAAACCCAGAGAGATGTAGTGTCTTCTTTTGTGGAACCAGCCTTTCTTTTCTTATTTTTTTTATTATGTTCAGTTAGCTCCTGTATAGCACAGAATTAGTCCTTGATGCAGCGATCAGTGATTCGTTAGATAAGTATAACACCCAGGGTTCAGCACAGCACATGCCTTCCTCAATGTCCATCACTGGCTTTTCTTGAGAATTCACTTTATGGCTATGTACAACGTGGCCTCTAGTCAGTGGGGTAAGTACATTGGTTCTAGAGTTTTTAACAGCCCTGCCATATAGCAAGCAGGTGGCTGGCAGAGGAAGGAAATAGGGTGAGCCTCTAGGAGGGTGGCTACTCTGTTATCATTCCTTTTCTCCAGAACCAATGAGTTAACTTTCGGAACATAACTTTCCAAGCCCCTAGAGGGATTGTGCTACATATGGACTAAATCATTAACCAACTGACATTCCACTTCTCCAGAATGAATGAGTTGGAATTTGGAACTCTGTACCTTTAGATAGAATATGTTATACACATTGAATTAAGTATTAATGGGGTCTTCCCTGATTTACTTTTTCATGCTATTGACCCAAAGTTTGAAAAGTGAACAGGCATGTCATGCCAGGACCACTGAGTTAGGCCAAGTGTGAATTGGGCTTGTTTCTAGGATAAGACCCAACAATGAAAGGAGATAATGTTCAGGAAAGTTAAAAAGGGGGAGCATGTAACCTTGAAGAATGAGCTGTCATAAAACTGTGAAAAAATATACAGTGTTGCCAAATTCATTTTCATGTGGTCATTTCCCGAAGGTTTATCTTAAGAATAAAATCTCGATGCTGGGCTTAAAAAAAAGAAAAAAAAAATACATGAATCTGTGTAAATGAAAGCACATGTTGAAGAAACTATTTATATAGGAGAATTTCTGCAGAATGCTATTTTTTCCTTTTTAGTCCAAAGCATTCGAAGTGTTTATTCCTATGATCCTGTGACTACTTCCCCCTACAGTATGCTTCATGTCTGCCTTGTCCTAAGTCTTACCTGACTATTTCTACATACTGGCAGCATGAACATATGTGTATTGTCCTGTTACCCAGGACATTCTCATGTACAGCTTGATCCCGTGCAGAGTACACCTTGGCAATGGGAAAAAACAGATGTGGGCAGAAGGGTCTCCCATGATCTCCAAAGCTAATCTTGTGTGGTTTTCCTTTTTCCTCTTTTAGAATGCAAGCGGATTGAAGTTTTGGATGTTGTGTTTGTAATTGACAGCTCTGGAAGCATTGACCATGATGAATATAATATCATGAAAGACTTTATGGTTGACTTGGTGAAAAAAGCTGATGTTGGCAAGAATCAGGTCCGGTTTGGGGCACTGAAGTATGCTGATGACCCAGAGGTGCTGTTTTATCTGGGTGACCTTGGCACAAAATGGGAGGTGATTTCGGTGCTTCAGAAGGACCAGCCCATGGGGGGCAACACTTACACCGCTGAGGCCTTAGGCTTTTCAGACCACATGTTCACTGAAGCCAGGGGCAGCCGTCTGCAGAAAGGGGTCCCCCAAGTCCTCATTGTGATAACTGATGGGGAATCCCATGATGCAGATAAGCTCAATGCCACAGCCAAGGCCTTGAGGGACAAAGGCATTCTTGTCCTGGCCGTGGGGATTGCTGGTGCCAATCCTGTGGAGCTGCTAGCCATGGCAGGATCGAGTGACAAGTACTTTTTTGTGGAGACGTTTGGAGGCCTGAAGGGAATATTTTCAGATGTGTCAGCCAGTGTATGTAACTCTTCGAAAGTAGGTAAGTTTTATCTATTAAACTTGTCTTAATTATTAGCAGAGGTCTAAGTGAGGGAGAAACCAAAACAATAGCCAGTCAGAGCAGGTTCTCCAGAGAGGAAATGGAGAAGCACCCATGGTCCTAGAACTTCCCATTGTTAGAGAATCTCAGGGTGGGGGAGGATCTCAAGGACATTTCATTTGGCCTCCCCCCCAAAGAGGAATACCTCCTACAGCTTTGCTGCTCATTGCCTAAACTTTTCTAATCATGGGGGATTCACCATTTTTGAGCAGGCTTTGTTTCTCAGAACACAAAGTTGTTTACCCACTCTTTCCACTCACTAGTTCTTCCTCCCACTTTTCACACAAGAAATCCAATTCCACTCCTTCCTAAGAACCAGCAGTCATTGCCTGAAACCTTCTCTCCTGCGGGCTGGAAGATCCTAGTCCCTTTGCTTATTATCAACAGAAGCTTGTTTAAAACATGGAGCCCAATACAAAACACACTTTGAGACTGATGTTTCTAGAGCATAGCACAGTGGACTTCCTTTGCCTGATGTTTCTGGTTCAGTGGCTAGAGATTACATTGCCACATTTATGTGTGTATGTGGTCATTCATTCACTTATTCAGCTGCCACTTTACACCTTTGTTTTTAAAGGAACACTATGGTCTATTAAAAAAAAAAAAATTCCTGGGGCATCTGGGTGGCTCAGTAAGTATCTGCCTTCGGCTCAGGTCATGATCCCATGGTCCTGGGATCAAACCCCACATCCGGCTCTCTGCTCAGCAGGGAGCCTGCTTCTCCCTCTCCCTCTGCCTGCTGGTCTGCCTGCTTGTGCTTTTTCTCTGTCAAATAAATAAATAAAATCTTTTTTTTTTTAATTCCTTAGTATTTTTTATTTAGGGTGTTTTATTAAAAATACTAAGTATTATTAGATGAATTGGTATTAATCCAGGTTTCCAACATCTTGGGTATAGTTCCTTTTAAAAATTATTTGACTCTTCTGGATTTCCTATGCCTTGCCTCCTTAGAAGACCCTAATCCAACCCTATCTATTTCTTTCATAAAACTAATGAAATCTGTCTGGGTCTTACTGAAAACTGGGAGAACTCTTAGCTTCTGTTGGCCAGTGCCTAAAATTTGATTTGTCCTTTTAAGCCTACTGCAGAAGTTGACCTTGAATTTTTGTATTAAAAGGTCTTCCTTGGTGAACCATGAGAGACTGTGGACTCTGAGAAACACACTGAGGGTTTTGGAGGGGAGGGGGATGAGGGGTTGGATGAGCCTGGTGGTAGGTATTAAGGAGGGCTCCTATTGCATGGAGCAGTGGGTGTGGTGCATAAACAATGAATCTTGGAACACCGAAAAAATAAAGTTAAAAAAAAATAAAGGTATCCTTGGGTGTGCTTTAAAAAAAAAAAAACTGCTTTATCTCTCTTATTTGAAACAGGAATTTAATGAGTTAACTGGTTCCTAAGGGATCTATTTATCATATTTCTCTTTATCTCTTCCCTGCTTATCTTGACTGCAGGAATCTCGGATACCTTTAATCTTAGGCTAACTAGAATTAACTAAGTTAAGTCAATGGTGAAATCTCTGGGGGAATTCAAGGAAATGATAATGTTTACCAGAAGGCTAAGGGAACACACATGAGCATGTTCCAAGCATAACTCATTCATTGGCAGTGGTCTTTTCATATTCTTTTTGTTTTGTATTTGTTGTATTAATAAAAAGGAAGCCTCTCTAAACTATACTACATTGCCAAAAAATATTTTTATTAAGTACATATTTCTGCCTATATGCACCAGAAAGGGAGCTGAAAAAGAGGAAAACAGACAAGATACAGGCTGGATGGCATGATTTGAAAACCTCAGTTTGCCCTAATAATAATCAGGAAAGTATTGATTGGCTCACCTAGCCAGGGAGGCCAAGTGAATCATACAGACCATCTGTCTTTTTGAGTCCCTTTTTGTGCTATTTTGTTTTCTCTTGCTGTGCTACTACTAGCACTGGGCTTTCTGAAAGGGTTAAGGCTACATGACAGGTAAGAACGAGTTTACCATGGTGCCACTCGCATTTCTCTAGCCTCTTGGAAAAGAAAATGGTGTAAGACCAAATGGAAATCCCAAGAAAGTCAGAAAGGGATACATGAGTTGTTTGTGCCTTTATGAACTGACTGTTTTTATTTCCTCTCCATTAATGTGACCACTGGATGGCATAGGATAAGAAGCCGTCTTCACAGATCTCATTTCTATATAGCTACAAACACATAATCAGCACTTGCCTGGTTTCAGAAAAAATAATCTGACTTTTGTTGTTGTTACTTTCTTTCCTCCTCTTTGTAGATTGTGAAATTGAAAAAGTAGATCTTGTGTTTCTCATGGATGGTTCAAATAGCATTCATCCAGATGACTTCAAGAAGATGAAGGAATTCTTGGCATCTGTTGTTCAAGACTTTGATGTCAGTGTCAACAGAGTACATATAGGTGCTGCCCAGTTCAGCCATACCTATCGGCCAGAATTTCCACTGGGAAATTTCATAGGCAAGAAGGAGATCTCATTTCAGATCGAAAACATCCAGCAGATCTTTGGATACACGCACATTGGTGCTGCACTCCGGCAGGTGGGGCATTACTTCCGGCCAGACATGGGCAGCCGGATAAATGCAGGTACCCCGCAGGTGTTGCTGGTCCTCACAGATGGCCAGTCCCAAGATGAGGTGGCCCAGGCCGCTGAAGACCTGAGACACAGAGGTATTGACATTTACTCTGTGGGCATTGGAGATGTGGATGATCAACAGCTCATTCAGATCACCGGGACTGCAGATAAAAAACTGACGGTCCATAACTTTGATGAACTGACAAAGATCAAGAAAAGGATAGTTCGCAACATCTGTACCTCAGGGGGTGAGAGCAGTAAGTATTTAATGTGTCGTTCATATTTTTTCCTTCCCTGTCTTTGCTGACATTTTCCTTCAGCTCTGTTTACATCCCCAGGGTCTGGTAGGAGAATTTAGGTTTGTGCCTCTGGATTTCAGATTGAACTTTTCACAGTCATTAAGCACTTTTTTGTGACTTGTGGACTGAAAAAAACAGGACTTCTGAGAACCTTTCATCTCACACACCACCCCCCTACCCCCTAGAGTACATGTCTCTTTGCAAATGGGAATGCTGTTGCACAAAGAAGAGGCCATTGTTTACAATTTCATTGGTTTCATAAGTTGGAGACTATGTCTCAAAGAAGTAAACTATTTGGCAGGTTTCGGTTGCCTGGCAAAAGGACCTTCAGCCGCCAAGGGCTGTGGTACAGGTGTATAGAAAACGAACAGCCTTGAGAATTTAGATTTTTATTATGAAACTTTTTGCTGCAAAAGTTAGTAAATGCCTTCTTAAAAGTTAGTCTATTTTGACATTTTCCAACAGATGGAAGAAAAGATCTTGAAAGAAGGATTTTTTTTTCTATTTTTGTAGATGCGCCCAATGGGTTGACTGTGGTTCTGTGTAACTATCTATGGTAAATAGAAACTCTAGATTTTTATCAGGAAAAGGAAAGCTATCTAGTTGCTAGGAGGCAGCTCTGGAGATAGATAGCCTAGCTATGCATCCTTATTTGATGGCCATTTTTTTCTTGGACAAGTTGCTTAACTTCTCTAAGTTTAATTTTCTCATCTATAAAATGTGAGCAGTAGCATCACCTAGTTCAAAAGATCATTGTCAAGATTAAATGAGAAAATGAGTATTTAATCTTTATAATGACATCCCAGATGTCATGCTTACTCAACATAAAGTTATTCATTTTTGTCTACCACTGATCCATTAAATTTATTCATGGGGGCCAGCTCTTCCTTTGCCCCTAGTCACTTTCAGGAAATAAGTGAACTTTTTCTTGGTGATTAGTATATCCATCGAAGGGTAACCGTTAAAACAAAAAACTTCATTCAAGGTTATTTCACTTTCCCAGCTTCCCACAGTCTGCTCACCAGCCATGACAAAGGAGCCGCCACATGGTTGGCATTTTACCCATTGTTGCCCACCTATCACTTCTACCCCCTTCTCCCATGCCCTACCCTCTTGTTAGCCATGTTTTTTGGCTTCTCCAAAGTAGGCTGGGGAAGAGAGAAGAGCTAAAGAAGCACACCAAAGTTCTTACTTGATGATGCTTGTCAAGAATTGGTTTTCTGTGACAATAGCCTATATCTAAATCTGGGTCCATTCATGGGTCTTCCAAAGACTTTCCCTCCTGCCCTCCACCACCTCTACCTCCATTCAAAGCACATTTGTCATGGGATCTCTCAACCATAGTTCCTCTGAGAGAGGTAAACATGTCTCAATTCCAGATGTTCCCTTATGCCTTCCTCAGCCTCTGGGCATTTGGTGATGTCTGCAGCTTTATTCTGCTGCCATCTCTTTGGCCTTCCAGTTAGCCTTTTTGGACAGGAGATCAAAGGAGTCCACAGTGGCTCCTTCTTTCATGGGCATATCAGCTCCAGGGGAAACAATCACATATCAGTTGCCCCAGTAAATACTAGAAGTTACAGCCTCTTGGTGTGGTCACCTCTCTTTTGCAGAGAGAGCAGTGTGCCATCCTGTGACACATTCTGTAGAATTTCTAGGCTTGCCTCATCTCTGAGTACTCTCTTAAAGCTCCTCTTACCTGACTTAAAGAGGAAATTACCTCCTTTCCTTCTACATATGTGTATGTGTGCAGGTGAGACACCTCCCAACACATCAACAGTTCTCTCCCCCAAAACACTCTTCTAAACTCTAGGTTCAAACCCTTTATAAGACCTGATGTACAAGCTAAGGGTTAAGAGTCCTGTCATTGATTAGGGACTATTGTCTTCATGAACTCTGCTTCATGATATCCCCATACTTTGGAATGTCTGGTAACTTCAGCCAAACCTTCCACATTAATTTCCTATTTCACATGAAATACCCATTTCCAATTATTAGGCAGAAAATGATCTTGGAACCATCTAGTCTCTTCTCGAGAGACTGAAAGAAAACCATGTGGAAAGTGAAAACCAGGAGTATGCACTCCCATGTAGTAAGTTATCTTTAAAGGAAATAGTCATGAATGTAAAATAAATAAACAGAAGTACTCTATATTAAGATAAACTTGAAGTTATTACTGCAGTAAACAAGAATGTGAGGACTTTGTAGCTGAGCTGCGGGCCGAGGTCTAAAGAGACTGGAATGAACACTGAGAAAGCTCCAAAGGCATGTGCAGATGTACCAGAGAATACCAGTTCTTCTTAAACTACCACCGCCCCTGCACACCCCAGTCCAGGAAATCCAGTAGTTGGGTACGACTTAAAGCAAATCAGACTTAGAACCTAAATGTCTAGCTTTGCTTCTTATTAAAATAGGCATAACTTTGGAGAAGTCACTATCCTTTCTTCTCCATTTATGAAGTTAAATCATCTGTTTTTCTGATTGTATACTATGATTCAATGTTTTGAAAGGACAGTCAGCTGCATTGAGATATGAGGGAAATGACTAAGAATCAGTGTTTCCTGAGCATCTACGAAGGGGGCCTAGCATGGTGCTCTAAGCATTTTAAATGCATCATCTGGTTAAATTCTCTCAAAACCCCATGTGGTTTGTATTTCTATTCCCACTTATAATGAAGAAACTAAGGTTCAAAGGCATATTGGTAACCTGGCCCAGATCCTACAGGAAGTACCAGATAACAAATTTTGAAACCTAGGTCTGTCTGACACCAACCCATTTTTTGGTTGTTTAGTTAAGCTGCCTATTTTCTTGATACAGTTGTTGTCTGGGTTATCTTATGCTGTTGTTATAAAGGACTAGTGTCTAAGTGTTGTGCTTCATTAATTAATAGCTGAACTTAAGACCTAATAAGTTTGCATCTTGAAATCGTTCCCATAAGCTGCTCTCCACTAAGGAAACCACTTGCTGCTGAGCTATGACTTCTGACACTACAATCTAGTAAACAAACTTGTAACCTGCATGACCTATCAACACTAGCCACCCAGGAATTGGTAAAATAGGGTTAAGGTAGTTGAGAATATGAACTCCAGAGAAGCCTGGATCTGATATCCCAAGTGTGGGATCCACAATAATAATTGAGACCTTCGGCAAGCTGTTCCAAGTCATAACTTCCTCACCTGAAAAATGAATATTAGAAGAGCTTCTACTTATGCTGTTTTGTAAGGACAAATGAGATAATGAATGGGAAGTGCATGGTAGGTATACAGACACTATTAGTAACTACTATAGAGTGTTGCAGAGGATATCTTATGATGATCATATAAATATACAAATATGTGGAGTCATGGGGTTAGTTCACAAAAGGACAATTTACCAAGAGTTCCCTGGTTTAGGAATGTTAATATTTTTGCAACAGTTCAGAGCTATATTCAAATTTAATGTCTTAGCATATAGCAAATTCTCTTAAGCAACTAAGCTCCAAAGTCTGTTTTCTTACCTTCATGTTTGTTATTTTCTTACATTCATGTTTATTTTCCTAACTTTTCTCTGAGCCTAGGTATTCTGACCACCTAGAGGAGATTATCACAGAGTGTTTGGGATACAGAAATGCTGCCTTTTTCATTGAGCCATGATTAGGTAGCAAAAGAATCAATAGTCCCTCTTAACATTTGCATCATCATGGATAGATGTATCAAAAAGGAGAGTTAAGGGGCGCCTGGGTGGCTCAGTGGATTAAAGCCTGTGCCTTAGGCTCAGATCATGATCCCAGGGTCCTGGGATAGAGCCCTGCATCAGGCTCTCTGCTCGGCAGGGAGCCTGCTTCAAAAAAAAAAAGAAAAAAATAAAAGGAGAGTTAAGTGAAAGGCAGCCTGGGGAAGGATTTGATTCAAGGAATGTGAAAAATACAATGACAAAAATAGATGGTCATTCCCAAATTTCCTTGACGAGGATCTCAAAGGTTTCTGTCTTAATTGGGTTCTCTAGAAAATGGAGCTCAAAACAAAGCTTATATGCTAATACTTTAGGTGCTAATACTTTGAAAGTGCAATCCCAGGGATGCAAGAGTGAGTCTAAGAGAAGTCTTACAGGAAAGGAGAAAAAATACATACAAGATGGTATATTACTAAGCTTGCTATAGCTTCTTGAGAAAGCAAAATTGGTGCATCAGTCATGTAGAATATCACTAGGGAAGTGTGTGGCACCACCACATAGATGGGTCCATCAGGGGAAATAAAGAAGAGGACCTATCTGCTAGTTTCCTCCAAGCTACTGACTCTCACTGATCAGTGTTTACCCTCATGGAGAGTTAATTCTCCTACCCTACTGGGTTGTGTTATCAGCCCTTTGGGGAAACCAGACATGGGATCCACAGTGAATGATATCTGTGACTGGAAGTCGTGGAAGGAGCTGGATTTCCCATGAGTTCAGTTGGGTTAGATATGGGAACCAGAGTCATCATGGCCCTCTTGCCCTGAGGAGATGAGGCCATGACAAAGCCTGGTCACCCCCAACCACCCTGCACACTTTTAGGAGACCAGATGATAGTGGCAGCTGAGTCTATCCAATGGATAAATGTCCAGGTCTGGATTGGGTGGGGAGGAAGTAGCAAATCTGGGAAATACATAAACCAGGTATCTTACCCTACCTATTTTCTAGATCATTCTTTTTTCATCTGAGAAACCCCTTCTTTCAAAGGCCCCAAACAAATTTCTCTCTTATCCCAACCAATAACTGCCAATAGCCCCACTTTCCCCTTTAAAGTATATAAGAATTGTTTTCTAATCTTACTGATATATCCTACCTTCTTGACAGTATTTCTTAATACTAGGAATCTGCCATCATCAACTCTAATTATGGACTTTATAAGTCAGATAATTAAAATCCACTTTTAGGTCTGGCAGGGAAATGTCAGACTACCTGTTTAGTCCAATCCACTCTTTTCTGTTTTTATTTTGGAATATATAATCTTAATTTTATAAACAGGAAAATCAATGCCCAGAAAGGTTAAGAGACTTGTGAAAAGTCATCCAGCAATAGCAGTGTCTTGACCCGTCCATGACTTAAATGTAACGTGAGGCCTGTCCCCTTAAAGACCTCCCCCCAACCAGACAACCAGACATCCACACTATGGTTTGTAAGGACAAGTCCAATGCTCAAAACACTAGTTTTGCTTCTCCTTGTTATCACCCTCTACAGCAGGGCTGTGAGCTTCCTTCTCAATTTGCTCCGCGCTTATCACCACTTTTCGATTTCCCCGTCCCGCTATCGTAGGTTCATCCTTCATTATTTCTCCTTGGACATCCAGTGTTCACCTTCTCCCTCACTCACTTCAAAACCATCCCTGCCTCTTGTTAGCTCTGAAGGCTCTGAACTGGTAAGACCCTTCCTTCCATGAAAGCCCCCTTGATTAATACGGCCTAGTCTAATTGCATTTAGACATGTGACTGCCAACTCTGGATTTGTTCCTCAAATTCATTCCTTTAATCACATTATTATGAAATCATTTGTCAATTTGAATTAGTTAAATAAACACAAGGAACTTATTTACTAATCTAGACAAAAAGTTAAAACACTAATTTTTAGAGGGGACAGTTCCCCGGATCACTCAATGATATTTTGGCATTTCTGCCGATGTTCGTTTTTCGAAAGAGACAATTTTCCTTGAAGGCCGTGACCTAGTTTGGTTACTGGTTTTCTGTTCGGGGGCTAAAACCATGTTTATCCCAGAGTGAAACTTTCAATCTCAAGATTGAAATGATAGGATATTGATTCAAGAGGAATTTTGGAAAGGACTTATTCTGATGCTTCTTTCTGACTAGTTTCTTTTTCCTTATCTCCCTTTCCAAATATCAGAGGAGAGATTTGTCTAAGAAACTACCTATGGCAAAATAAGAAATAAAAACTAAAGAAAACCCACCTTTCAGATGTTTTGATAGCATTGATTTACCTTAAATGTCATGGTGAAAATTGATTATCAGATAAGGATTTACTTTCCCTCACCCACATCTTTTCTCTTTCAACATGAATCAGGGTACAAAGGAGTGGGGAAAAAATGAATCAAATTACTGGCCCTTATTTTAAAATCTGAAAGTGACATTTTGATTTCAAAGACTTGCAAATGTACATCTGACCAGTGTCTGGAGGTAGCGTAGGTGGGCATTTTTCTACACAATAGCTATCTTGAAAAACTGCTTATCTGAACAAAGCAAATTAAGAATACATAGTCTTCTCCCCCTCCACATTTCTTTTTTTTTTTTTTTAAACCAAGCAAGCTGGTTACATTTGCTGGATTTGCTGAGTCTGTATCCAACCGAATTTGCTAGAAAAATTTAAAGTTTTAGCCAACCTTAGAAGTTCTGGAAAGAAGAATGCATGTGAGCTATCATTTTATCCTTCCCTGATTATCTCCCCTTTAGGAGGCTCAGCTTAAATTATCAAGTCCCTTCTAGTTTCTCCAGTGCTTAACATGTCCCTGGCTTTAATAAGGATAAAAGCAAAGCACTCTAAATGCAAAAACTCTCTAGGTATTTCTCGAATCTCCAAATGGCAATGGCCTCAGCTTCCTGAGTGCCTGAGCTCTGAAGGCAATGCCATCTCTGGCATATAACTTTAGATACTTAAATGATTTTGCATGGCTTTTTCAGTGACCACAATAATGTCTTTCAGGACTTTGTTACAAAATCATCTAGATTTTATAGAAGCTTAAAAAAAATTCTATACTTATACCTTTATAGGTTATAAAAGAGTGATTCTAATCCTCTTCCTTTATTCAGTCATTTTCTTCCTTGTTTTCCAACTTTATAATTGGAATCAAAATAAGAACTTCAAATACCTTGATTCAGATATGGCAAACAAACCGGATAAAGTTATTTGTTGATCTAATAAGATACTTTTCCTTTGAACCCTAGATTGTTTTGTGGACGTTGTGGTGGGATTTGACATCTCAACTCACGAGAATGGGCAGACTTTGATTGAAGGTCAGCCTTGGATAGAAACCTACCTTCAAGACCTCTTACGTGCCATCAGCTCCCTCAATGGGGTAAGCTGTGAGGTGGGCACAGAGACTCAAGTTAGTGTGGCTTTTCAAGTGACCAATGCCATGGAAAAATATTCACCCAAGTTTGAGATCTATAGTGAAAACATACTGAACAGCTTGAAGGATGTAACAGTAAAAGGACCATCTCTTCTTAACACAAACCTCTTGAGTTCTCTGTGGGATGCATTTCAGAATAAATCAGCTGCTCGAGGAAAGGTAAGCTGGTTTTACTTTATCTGCTGCTGCTGCTGGTCTATGGTTGTGATGACCTCCTTTTTACTTAATTTTCTTTTTGAATACTTTCCTAGGTGGTTATCTTATTTTCAGACGGATTGGATGATGACATTGAAAAGCTTGAACAAAAATCTGATGAACTTAGAAAAGAAGGTATTGAGCATGGGGAAGAGTGGGAAAGGATTGTTTACTGAATTAATAACCTCAGAGCTCAATTCTGGCTCTTAAGTTTTCAAGCACTCAAATAACCCTGAATTTGTCAACCAATATGCACTTGGGAGAGCAAATGAATTCTCAGAACATTCTGGCATATACTTTTTCTTCATACACTATGGATGTGAAACAGCATGGAATAGAAGGTCCTACCCTTCCTTTCATATCACTGTGTGTCTTCTTCCTAAGCTTTCCAGGAGAATGGTCCTGTCTCCCTTGGCCCACATTATCTAATACTGCTGCTTCTTTAGTGTCTGCAGAAGTGAACAGTGTATTTCTCCTTGACCAAGGAATAGAAGAAGTAGATTATTTTCTTTTGACACTGTTAAAGTTTCCAGAATCTTAGACATTGTTGGACAAATCTACTCATGTTTTGGAGTGTTCTAATTAGTTCCTTCCTTCCAACTACAGATGGACCATCCATGGTGCTTAGGAATTTTTCAAGTATTGGCACTAGGCTTTTTGCTTTAGGAACCAGTGCCCAGTCTGACTTATTGTTGGTTCTTACAAAATATGGATCAGTGGAAGAAAAATTAATCCACATGTTCTAGTTTGACTAAGAATAGAAATACTTTCTTGTGAGAGGATGCTATTGGTGCTCCCACCCAGACCCCTTTTCCAAGCAGGTTCCCCCATCCTCCAGCCACTGTGACTTTTGGCTGCTAGAAACTCACAGGTTCTCCTTTCTCTGAAGAATTGCTGTCAGCCAGTGGAACCCATGTCACCTGGAAGATTACCCTCTACCCCAACCCTAGGCAGCAGGTAGACTACAAGAAATTGGACATTTGCCTTTAAATGACACCAGTTAAGTGGTATAATTTATGTTCCAGAGTTCCCCATGGTATCAGGCTGAAGCTAGTCTTCAGTTGAAATACTATCTTGCTCAGCTCCTTCCCCTGCCCTATCTTGCTTTCTTTACTCCTTCTAAGAGTGCTTTCTCTACTCCTTCTAAGAGTGCTTTCTCAATAAATTGTAAGCATCTAAATCCCCTTCTCAGGCTCTGCTTCTAGAGAACCTGCCTAAGACACCTGCTTGGGTTGCTCCCAGGTTATCTACTAGAACCTGAGGAGATCTCTCTTTCTCTTTGGTTCTCTCTCCTCAATCTTAAACAAATTGCAAAGTTAGCTGTATTTACGGCTGAAAAGTAAGACTTTTAATTTTGATCTTTATTTTCTAACGCTTTTTTTTTAATTCTTTCAAGTCTTGGACTTTTTTTTAAATGATCTACAGTTGGAGATATTAATGAAGACTGAGAACAAGACACTAGAGTCTTTAATTTGGGTGGGTAGGGTTTTTTTGTTTGTTTGTTTGTTTGTTTCTATATTCAGCTTTTCTTTTGTGGTGAAAAAGATGTATCTTTTGCAGACAACATGAGAGTTTTCTCCAGGAAGTTTCCCCCAGAACACACAGATTTCTAAGACCAGCCTTCTTTTTCCCAGCTCCCAAAGAAAAACCATTAAATGAGTTTCAACTTCAGAAGCTAGATTTTTAATATCCTCAAAAATTCAGAATCTTAATGGGAGAGATAAAGGGATGGTAGCCATAATATTTTTTAAAGATTGTTGAATGGCTCTCAGTATGGAAAAGGAGTACCTCTAGCTCTTTTCGCATGTTTACACATATATAATTCCAGTTGATGCGTGGCCCTATGATCCATTAACCTAGGAGAGCCTCCCTAATTTGGGGCCGGGTATTTGTACGTACAAACTGTGCACTCATAATGACATAAAGACAAAAGGAGGCCCAGAGAAAAGGATACTCAGCGGTGAATATAGCTTTATAAATAATCCACATGGATTAGGGTTTGAATTGGTTTAGTTTTTCTTAATATAGTGCTCTAGATTCTCCTCAATGATCCTTATATTCTTTCATTTTCGAAATCTTTTCTTCCTTATTTTTACGAACTGTATTTTAGATCTTTTGACTTTTTATTGGATGAGTCTGAAAGGAGCAGGGTCAGAGTCCCTCATCCTGAGGAAAGCATTTACAAATAATAGTTATATGCATGATTTGCTACAAATCAACAATCCCATGGTTCTCATAACTCTTAAATTTTTACATTTCTTGGAACTTACAAGAGAAGTCAGATATAAGATTTCCCCCCCTTATAAATAGATCCACTAGCATGCCTTCTTTTGGTCAGTAACCTCCTTTGATGAGCTCAGCATTCTTTATTGTCTATTCCAGCCCATTCCACCATCCCTTTTCTTCTTGTCATCCTCATTCCTGGAACAGTGACTAACGCCTTGTTTATTTGAGACAAGCCAGAGATATCAACACTAAAATGAGGGAAGTCCTGGTAAATCAGGACAAGTTGGACAGCCTATTCTTTAGTGTTTCTTCTCTTATTCTACTTCAGCCAACCTCTGTTTCCTCTCCTAGAACTCAAGCCTTAAGTATGCGCTTGAAACTTTATTCTCCCCATTTTCTTCCACTCACCCAAAATCATTCATTCAGAATCATACATACATTGAGACGACATTCTTAACTCTCGGGTCTGTGAACATTTCTTTATTCTAGTCCATTGGCTTCCAAGTCCCATCTAAAGATTTCTTCACTCTTCCATAATGAAATGAGAAAACTTATTGCCAATGGAGTCAAGTTTTCATAAAGCTAAGTTTATTCAATTTTAGGACGGCTCTTTACTCTGATTATGTCCTTAGTATATTTTTGTTATTATGTCTTTGGACTGTAGACTTTGGAATCAGGCTGTCTGGGTGAAAACCTAAAAATACCCCTCAAGCCAGTCATTTAACCTCTCCAAGCCTCCGTTCTCTTATCTGTAAAATACAGCTATAATTCTACATACCCATACAGTTGGATTTGTAGCTTACAAGTAAGCTAATGCATGGAAAGCACTTAACTGACTTCCAGGCACATAGTAACTATTAACGAATGAGAGCACATTGTTACTATGGCTACCTCCACCATAAGGATTGCCAAGGTTATTACTGGTATCATTTCATATTTATATCAATCGGTATGTTTGTATCAATCAATACTTTGCTAAATAGGTCAAAACCCTCTGTTAGTCCCTTCTAGTTTTCTTTGAAATGTTCTGATCTATAAAATTCCAGAATTTATGAGCTATGGCTATGGATGATTATATGTCATTTGTTTCTAACTGCCTGACAAGAGGTCTCTTACAGTCTTACAGTCTCTCACTATAATTCCAACTGGATTCTTGAATCCTTAAGAGGTCTTTATAGCTGTGCTTCTCAAACTTTAATGTGCATATAAGTCATGTGGTGATTTTATTAAAATACAGATTCTGATTCTGTAGGTAATTCTGTATTTCTGAGAAGTTCCCAGGTTATGTAAGTGCTGCTGTCCAAGGATCCCCCTTTGAATAGCAAAAATTTAAAACATTTCCTTTCTTGATATATCAGTTTCTCTGCATCTTAGTATACTCTATGGACCCTTTTTAAATCATTATATCTCACTTCAAATCATCCAGGAGCTGTAATTTCTGTTGTAATATCCCCCTGCTTCCAATCTAATTAACTTTGAAAATGGAATTCCATTTGTTCTCTGAAGATAGTCTTGTCACTCATCAGTTTTACATTGCATGGTTGGGAGAAGTAGACAATGAAATGAGTGTTCATCTTGCAACTGGTTTCCCAGAATAACAATGTAGATACATAGGCAAAAAGATTAAAATAGCCAAACCCACCTCACCTGGAGAACTGTAAACTGTGTTGGATAGGCCTGAATGCCCTCGTAACCATTGCTCTGGATGGAGCCACCGATTCCAGTGACCTGGCTGATCTTCTCTACATTGAATTCGGGAAAGGGTTTGAGTACAGAACCCAGCTCACTATTGGAATGAGGGACCTTGGGAGCCGACTGTCAAAACAACTGGTAAGTGACTTAGAAAAGTCTCATGATTTTCAATTTTCTGATTGTTTTGTATATAGATTTAATATTTATGCTGACAAATCTGAACTAATTTTTGTTCACTTGAGTGTGAAAAAAGGCTTCTGAATTAGTGAACAGCCTAAAGAAGAGGGTGTTTTGAAAAAAAATAAGGTAATACAGTAGAGATACATCGAAGCATGTTTAGTTACTCTACTTGGCAAAAAAGGAAAGAAATTAATAGCACCTACAATCATGCCCAAACTGCAGTCACGGAATGTAATGACAGGGTGAATCCACTGTTCCCTCAGCCTGCTGGTTTTCACATCCCTCGTGGGTCCTAAGTGTCACAGCTCACCGCAGTGAGTATAATTTTCGCGTTTAAGACATGTATTTTCCGGGCAACACGGCTGGTAAAGGAGAGCTTACTGCACTTGGAGTTCAACCAAAGGAAGAGGCCCCTGCCCCGATGTTGGAGGAAGAGCAGAGCAGCATGATGATTGACCCCCTGTGCTGTACTGTGTGCGTGATCCAAAGCTTTGTAAAAGTCTTGACTGCAATGTTTGCCTTGTGAACTCTCTTTAGAACCAGATGTCTACATGGATGCATCCAGTCCCATTTCTTTCAGAAGCATACAAGGATTCAAACTAGAGGGGTGAAGGGTTAGCAGGTTATGTGGCACCAATTTCACCTTCGTAACTGGCTAATAATCTCCCATTTGCTTATGATTTATAACTTCTATAATCAGCACATCAAGACACTTTCCAATAACATGCTAGCTCCTATTTTTCACCTGTAGAATTTGTATGTAAAGAGATGTTTAAACACCATTGTTCAGTGGTAATCATGTAAAAATAATTATTTCAAGAATATGGAAGTTCTGATGGAATTGCTTTCTACATGGGAAGACGGTGTCTTTTTTACAAAAGATCTTTTTTTCCTACTATTTTTGTTTTCCTGTCTTTGAAATCTGTCTTGGTAATTCATAGAGGGAGGAAGTTAATTCTTCAAAACAAGCCTGTCAGTGTTTCAATATCACATCAGTGCAATATGGTGTAAAAAAAAAAATAATAAAAATAAAAAACCTTAATTTTAGATCAATTTTAACATTAATAGTAAAAGACCTAATGCTGTAGGGTGTTATTGATCCAAAGAAAATTGGTATTATCTAATAGAAAATCACAGAATCCAGTTTGTTATCTGATTTCACACATTTCAAGTTTTATTGGTTTTTCTGACATTTTCAGGGGAAAATTTTTTTCTAATGGCTGAAAAGTAACATTATATAATAAACACAAGTACAATTGCTAGGTGATTATTATAGCAAAAGATTTCCACTTTTCATCACACTAGAATATTTTTTAAAAGATTTTATTTATTTATTTGACAGAGAGAAAGAGATCACAAGTAGGCAGAGAGGCAGGCACAGAGAGGGTTGGAGGAACCAGGCTCCCCACTGAGCAGAGAACCTGATGCAGGGCTCAATCCTAGGACTCTGAGATCATGACTTGAGCCAAAGGCAGAGGCTTAACCCACTGAGCTACCCAGGTGCCCCATCATACCAGAATTTTGATGGGAAACTTTTCAACACAAAGATTGATTCTACCCCACCAAGGGCAAGCATGGTGTTTAATGCAAACTGGATTTTCCTAAAAATAAAACTTGTGGGTTAATTGTAGAAATGTAGTGGAATATGTCAATTTTTTCAGAAGATGACTAGGTTCCGGATAAAATTCACTGATATTTTTCAATACATAATATGGTTTTTCGGCCAGGGTATAAAGGGGAATCTTTTCCCCATTCCCCATCCTCTATAGCAAGGGTTTGGAAATGTTGAGTGTGTAATTGGTGTTTTTAAAATCCTGTCACACAAACTTTTCTGGAAGTGTTTACCATTGGACTCCATTTCAAGCACTATGACATCAGGCACTGTTTAAATTCTCTAGCATACAAAGATTTCATGAAACAGGGAAGGGAGAAAACGGCATTCATTTTATTGAACAAAATATTGGGGGCAGAATTATATATATAAGGTGAGCAGCAACACCATGGTCAATGCTGGGATGGGGTGGGAACAAGAGACCACAGTAGTAGATTAGTAGATTAGATTAGCATTTTGAGAATTGTATTAGTAGATTAGGTTAGCATTTTGAGAATACAAAAACCTTTGAGGAAACAAGCCATAAGAGACTCAACAATAGAAAACAAACTGAGGGTTGAGGGAGGGAGGTAGAGAATAAGTTCGATGGTGATGGGATTAAGAAGGGAACTTCTTAGGATGAGAGCTGGGTGTTGTGAGAACCACTGAATTCTACTCCAGAAACCAATATTGTACTGCATGTTAACTACATAAAATTTAAATTGGAAAATTCAGCTTCTTTGAGTTGACTCTGAAGTCCTCATAGGGTAGAGAATGCAGACCATAGAAGGAAGGATAGCAGCTGAAGAATGTCTCACGCACTGTATCTGGAGCACAGTTACTTTAATGGGGAACAGGTTTCTGAAACTGTGGAAGAAGCCTGAATGACACTGTTGAGTGTGTATGTGGGATTTGGGAAGCATTGCCACCCAATGTCATGAATTTCTTACTCTTCCCCAAGGTTAATGTTGCTGAAAGGACATGCTGCTGTTTATTCTGCAAGTGCATTGGAGGGGATGGCATAATGGGGGATCCTGGACCACCGGGGAAAAAGGTGATTTTAGTTAAGATTGACAGTTCACTTTATTTGAATGTTGTATGTCTTTCAGACATTGGTTTAGGTAGAAACAAAGGATAATTTTCACTTCTAGATAGAGCCTCTGAGGTAACTACTTATTCTCCATGATAATTAGATAGTCCTGGCTTTCCCTTGGCATTCTAAATGGGAGTCTTCTCAAAAGCTTTCAGTTCAAGTGTCCGGAGGAACAACTGCCAAGATTCTTGATTATCTAGTGTTCCAGCAGTGATGACAACAACCCAAGAAATCAACTGTGATCTCGGTGTTGAATAATGAAAACCTCCTGAATACCAATGTCATTTCAATTTCCACTTTTAATGACTGCAGAGTCATTTAAATGAAGTAGGGAATGTTTTGGGTAGTCTGCTGATAAGCAAATTAGATCAGCTCACCCTATCCTCACAAAAGATGTGGCAATGTTTCAGTCAGCTTTAGCCAGACCGGAAATGTTACAGATAATATGCTCAAAATTGCCAGTCATAAAACAGTAGCCAACAATAGATTTATATATCTCCTAAACAAAAAAAATATATATACTCTTATAAAAAAATATGATTTGGGGCTTTAGGAAATGCTAAAATAGGTACAGACATACTATGGGTGTGTTTAATAATTTCAATACTGCTTGTTTACATGTGTGTTTGATTTGTGAATAATTTGTAGATAGCACCATAACTCCCAAATCAACATGCTCATGTCTCTGAAGAAAATTTTCAGACTATTTCCTGAATCCTTCCACTTGATGTAAGGAGAATGGTAGATTTTTTATATTTAAAGCTGGGCTCAGAAAGAATGAAAAGAAATGTGTGTGGTCTGTTTTTCTATGTGTAGCATAAATCCTAAAAAAGATTTTTTTTTAATAAAAAGAGGATAATTCTAGTCTGTCAAGGGCAAATATAGCTGTGTTCACTGGAAGGTTTGTCTGAGAAAAAAATATTCTAGCTCTATATATAACCCCAGAGAGAGTTATGGACAGCATTATGACCCACACATTGCACACACCCTTGAGTTATCTGGATACTTGTTTCAAAACTACATTTATTTTTATGTGTATAAATGCAGCCTAGGTTGTGGAGATAGGATTTTTTTTTCCAAACTCCTGTAATTCTACATAAAGTAAAACTATAATGAAAGATTTTTTGCTTGACTACCTTTGGTTTTTGGTCTGTGGAGTGCTAATGCAGTCTTCGTTTTCTTATTTCCAGGGATCCCCAGGTTTTAAAGGCAGTGAGGGTTATCTGGGAGAGGAAGGCATTGCTGTAAGTCAAGGTTTTTTTAAGCCTCTATTTATTCCTGAGAACATATCTAAAATAGGAAATCATTTATGTCAACTCAGAAGGAAACAAAAAAGAATTCATGTGCAAAATCTGAGGTCTTTTCTAATTCTCATTGGGCTTTGCTTCTGGTGGTCAATAATGGTTTATTAACCTACTGTCTCCTCTTTGGCTGTTCACCAACACTGCTCAATGAACTTAATGTGGAAGTTATTTTCTTCACCAGGGGACTCAAATCACTGCCATTTCCCCCTTCCTGATCCATTTTACACAGGTAAACCAACCCCCACATTATTTATCAAGGACCTCTACTCTTTTTCACATCCATCCATCCATCCGTCCACCCATTCATCCTTCTTCCTTTCTTCCTTCCATCTGTGTATTCATTTAACAATTATATATTGAGCATCTTACCATTTACCATAATAAATGAACTTCTCCATTCATGTATTCATCTAACAAATATATATTAAAGCATTCTACCATGTTTCAGGCACAGTGCTAGACTCTAGAAATAAAAAAAATAAAAGAAAAAATGTGATTCCTATCTCAGGTAATTTCAGACTAGTGGAGAGGCAAATGAGACAACCTTGTTTCTAGTTGCTATACATAAGGATTGTTCCAATGGTACAATCAGGTGAATCATGGCAAAGCACAGCAGAACAAATACTTAAGAGCCTTGGTAGCAGTTGAGGCTTGGGAAAGGAAGGCTACGAACAAGGGGTAATGTTTGGGCAGACATATGAAGGACAAACAGATATTTCTGCAGGCAAAGTTTGTGGGAGAGAACATGTTATTAGAGAGAGAACAATGTGTTCAAGGATATGACTGAGTCAGAATTTGTGTGTATATGTGTAGAATGGCACCTAGCCAACCTGATTGGAACCCAGGACACAGTGAGGAAGTTATGTGGCAAGCAAGACCCAGATTATAGGGAATCTTAACTATCCTACAGAAGATTTGGTGTCTTCCAGTTGATGGGCAGTCATTGAATGATATTAAGCACAGGAGTAAAAAATGATGGGGGCATGGATTTAGAGCATACTCAGGCGATGTATTGATGCTAATAAGGCAGGGGTTACAGGTAGAAGTCTTGCAGTAGTTGGCGCAACACAAGGCACAACACAAAGCAGTCCTAATTTTAGTTGGGGGCCATATGAGTGGTTAAGGAGGATGAATGTATTTAATTGTGACCTGGGGAGAGAGAAGCAGAAGATGACCTCTTTGTTTCCAGCGGTCTGGAACCCCACAGACTAGTGGGGTTACCAAGAAAAGGATTGTAGGAATGACATTTGGTTAAAGACAGAAAAAGAAGGAAAATGGTTTATTGGATTAGAAATCATGCTTAGATCTTTATTAGATCTAAGAATGTCCTTCATTAGATCTAGAACGTCCTTCTTTGGGACCTCACCAATTCTTCATTATCTGTTTCTGGGATATCGCCTGAAATTTTGACAATACGTTTCAGCTGCCACTTGTTTGTATGTATGCTTTATTTAGGTAGCACCCTTCCTAGGGCAGTATCCAGGTGGGATCCAAAGCAAAGGTCTGTCATCAGAGTAGTTCTAATTTACTTCCATTCTCAGGTTTAATAAGCATGAATTCTGGATTGTAAACCACGAGCAGTTATGCATTTTTTCCAACACAAAACTTGTAAAATTTCTAAGAATCCAGAGTACAATGGAAAAAGCTCATCCAGGTATGTTCCCTTTCTCAGGGAGACCGAGGAGCCAGTGGCCCAGTGGGAGAGCAAGGCACTAAGGGATGCTATGGTGCCAAAGGTCCTAAGGTAAGAGCTGCATAAGGCATTGTGAAGTCCTCCCAACATCATTTCCACTTTCTTACACTAACCACTACTGTCCTTTCTATTTTCAGGGAAACAGGGGACTAAATGGACAGGAGGTATGGTACCAATCATATCCATTTATCTGCCCATCTGTTACCTAGAAATATTTTTATTTTTTGAAACTACTGACCAACTACTGACCAACAGATCATGCAAATGAAATTTCTCTTGATCTGCCTTTATTGCCAGCCATTAGATTTTGCTTATTCTTGTCTTTTATTGCAGGCAGGGTGTATTATTTATTCACAATTTCTATTATTCGGCCATCTTTGTTATTACTCAGGACTAGGCTGCATATGGAAGACAAAACTAGACTTGTCAGGTGTCTGACTTCTTTCCACATAAATGTGTAATACACTCTATTCTGCTCACATCTGTCTTTTCAGGGAGAAGTTGGAGAAAGTGGAATTGGTGGATTAAATGGAGAACAGGTAGAGCCTTTTCTTTGTCCCAGAAAGGCCCTTCTGAGCTATTTCTCATCAAGGAGATGGAAATTTGAGTTTATGTTTCTGTTTTTTAGGGTGAGAGTGGTCTTCCTGGAGAAAAAGGAGAAAAGGGTGATGAAGGATCCCAGGTAGGGATTCAATAAAGAGACTGCAAGAAAAATGTCCTTTCAGTTAGAGGTGTGACCAACAGAGTAGAACAGCTACCCTAAGCATATCAGTCAGCGAGTGCCACAAAACTGCTTTGTGACAATCAATCACAAAACCTCAACTGCATACAGCAATAAACATTTCTTTCCTGTGTATCTAAGGTTTGCAGCCCAGATCCCTGGTCTAGGCTGAGCGTGGCTGACCTTGGCTCATCTATCTGTAGGTTGGCTGGTGGCTTTATTCCACATGTCTCTTATCTTCCTCCTAGGACCAGAAAGCCCTGTCTAGCTATGTTGGCCTTCACCTTTTCATGGCCATGGCAGATGCACAAGGGAACAAGTAGAAACACACAGGTTCTCTCAAGGTCTCTTAAGGCTTAGACTTGAAACTCTCACAGCAACACTTCCATCTGTTGGTCAGATTAAGTCATGGCCAAACTCGGGGCTTAGGGATTCATGACCCACCACAGCTGGAAAGCATTACAGAGTCACATGGCAAAGGGCATAGATACAGAAGTAAAGAATTAGGGCCATTAATGAAAAGCAGCTACCACACTAAGAATGGTAGCGGGGTGTTAATAAGAGTCTGTAGTGTGGGGTGGCACATTGAAAGTGTATGCCACTCATTCCCATCTAGAATAGAAACTGACGGCAGCCATACTGTCATCATCCACTTTGTCTGCCTTTGGAGAGTGAACACCTGAGTCAGAAACCCAATTTCTAGCGGATACAACCACCTTGAAGAAAATGGATAACGTCTCTGAATCACAGCTGCTTCATTAAAGATACAGTTATCATATGGTTTCACTTATTTGTGGAGCATAAGAGATAACACGGAAGACATGGGGAGATGGAAAGGAAAAGGGAGTTGAGGGAAGTTGGAGGGTGAGATGAACCATGAGAGACTATGGACTCTGAAAAACAATCTGAGGGTTTTGAAGGGGCGGGGGGTGGGAAGTTGGGTGAACCTGGTGGTGGGTATTATGGAGGGCACAATATTGCATGGAACACTGGGTGTGGTGCATAAACAATAAATTCTGGTACACTGAATAGAAATTTTTTTTAAATTTTTTTAAATTTTAAAAAAGATACAAATAATACCTAGTTTATAAAGTAGCTGTAAAAACTAAGACAACAAATATATCTGGAACAGAGATTTCATCACTGTGGTAAATAATTGAGGTCACTCTTAGATTATTTATATGATGCCTGAAACCATTTTTTTGGTTGTCCAGCTTAAAAAATAACTCTACTAGAAAAAATTTAATTATTCAAATCAGGGAGAAGATAATTTTGCTAATTTTGCTTTTGCTTTTACTAATGTTATTAAAAATTCTTGTCTTGTCCTTCTTCTGATCTGTATTATCTTTAGGGCAGCCCAGGAAAGCGAGGGGTTCCTGGTGACTCAGGTGCAAAGGGCCTGCGAGGAGACCCTGTAAGTGTTGGGGCTGTGTGGGCTGTGAGCTAAACAGGGCTTGGTTCCCATCAGCTTCTTATAAGGAGAGAACCCCACTTTATGATAGTACAGTAGCAATCCTGAGTTCAGATCATCCATCACAGGGACAACTCTTGTCAAATTTTAAAAGCAGTTCCCTTGTGCTGGGTCCTCTTCATCTATGGAATGAGCAGGGACAGTGAGAAGATCTTGTCCATCGCTGGAGCATTTGTTTGAGAATACATATTCAGAATCATTATCATGCTTTGGAGCCGTGAAGGAATTACAGTCTCCTTCATTCTTTTCCTCTGAGTACCTCAAAATATGGATAGGGTGGAAGAAACAAAGCCATCTCTTTTCTTCCATTCTCTAAGAGTCTTTTTCAATTAAGAATATGAGCTTAATTTTCTTGAATCCAAGCCCAGCTAGGACTATATCAGGCAACACCTGATATGAAACAGAGGTGCCCGCTCTCCGAGATACAACCTAGCTGAATAGGCATGACCCACACCAATGTACGGGACATGCCAGGTCCAGTGAAACATCAGTGCCATAGGACTTCCGTCACCCCACCCACACAAAAGTAAGTCTCCCAAATCTTAATGAATTAAGATTTAGGTTTGTTTATTAAACTTTTCTGCTGAGATATAATTGACATAGAACATTGCATAAACTTAAGGTGTTATAAGGTATTGATTAGGTAACATTTATATATTTTAATATGATTACCACCGTAGAGATAGCTAACTCCTGTATCGTGTCACAGAATTATTTTTTTTTTTGTGATGAGAACATTTAAGAGCTAGTCTCTTAGCAGCTGTGAAGTATATATTATTGTTGTCTATAATCACCATGCTGGGCCTCTAGAACTTAGTTTTGAACTATAACATCAGAAAAGTACACATTACAAATGCACAGCTTGATGAATGTAAATGTACCTGTGTACTCAGCACCCAGGTGAAGAAATAGGACATCCCAGAAATCACCCCCCCATGTCTACATCAATCATTACCAGCCCCACCCATAGATAATCACTGTCCTAAAACCATAAATTAGTTCTACCCATGACCTGAACTTTAAGTAAGTAGAGTCGTATGGGACACACTCTTCTGTTTCTGGCTTCTTTGGCTCAAGTTTATGCTTGTGAAATTCATCCATGTTTTTCGGGTAACAATAGTTCGTTCAGTCTCATTAAACTTAAGCCTTTTTAGCCAGTTTTCCAAAAACTTTGTACTAATTCACACTTCCACCAGCAACGCACCATAGCAGTGTACTACACACACACATCAGAATGGCTAAATTTTTAAAAAGCTGACAATAATAATTGCTGAATTATGGATGTGGGGCAACTGGGACACTCACAGGACTTTGTATACTGGAAGAGGAGTTACTAAAGACAATGGATTGATCAGAGAAAGAATTTAGGGCAACAGATTGAGAAATATAAATGTTAGGTACACATCGAAGATAACTGTTTTAAAAGCAGAGGAATTTGCACTTGAAGACTACATTGTTTAAGAAGTGATTTTTTAAAAAAAAGATTTTATTTATTTGACAGACAGAGATCACAAGTAGGCAGAGAGGCAGGCAGACAGAGTGGAGGAAGCAGGCTCCCTGTTGAGCAGAGAGCCCGATACGGGGCTCGATCCCAGGACCCTGGAATCATGACCTGAGCCAAAGGCAGAGGCTTTAACCCACTGAGCCACCCAGGCGCCCCTAAGTGATATTTTTTTGATAATAGTCTGACGACCTGAGAATTTTGAAACAACTTCAAAGTACGTAATGAGAAATCAAAAACTATTGGGGCGCCTGGGTGGCTCAGCGGGTTAAAGCCTCTGCCTTCAGCTCAGGTCATGATCCTAGGGTCCTGGGATTGAGTACCACATCGGGCTCTCTGTTTGGCGGAGAACCTTCTCCACCGCCCCACCGCCCGCCTACTTGTGATCTCTGTCAAATAAATAAATAAAATCTTAAAAAAAAAAAATCCAAAACCAAAAACTATCCATAATAAAATAATAAATAGTAGTTCAAAAGACCTTTCAGTCATCTATATATGAAGGCTAAAATTTCCTTGGGATATTGCTATAAAATTGCCATGCACTTTGGTCAGAACCCCCCACCCCCGCAATTGTCTGCTAAGTTATCTGTGCAATTCCTTAACACTTTCAAAAGAATCTGAATAATGTAAGATGGTTTTATTCTTTTTAATGTTCTATGACTTTGAGATGGCTGAAAATTCAACCTGCTAGAACTTTGTGATGTGCTGTTTGTCACGATACTAATTTTAGATAGTTTTTTTAATGCATGATAATTCTTCCCACCCACTTGGGAGTATACATCTCAAAATGAAGACAATTCTCTGAGCCTTTTTATATGTGGTTTTTATGGGTTACTATTTTGAGGAAAAATTTGGGAGAGCAAGATTGATTGAATAACTGGAACCCACACATGATCAGATTATTCATAGGAATGCATACGAATGGCACAAATTCCTAAAAGTCTGTGCTTATTCAGACAGAACTTCCGATCACGTGAAAGCTAGTTTGGGTGTTTGGAATTTCCCATTTTTAAAAATCTCATATAATCTCTGTGATACAGGGGAAAAACCTGAACCAGATCATTTGAGCTACAGAATTTAGTAAGGTTCATCATTCTAAACCATATCATTATTAGAAGCCCATGTTGAATCATAAATTTGCTCTTTGGTCCTGTTGCATAGAAAGAACTTGAAAGACTGGACAGATCATATTCAGACTGACTGAACAACCAGAATGTTCTATTCTGTAACATGTAACTTTTTAAATGCCATCTCTTCAATTAAATAGTTTGGAGTTGGACCTCAATAAGTTATTTATACATCCAGCGGAATAAAATTTTGCACTTTGCATGATCTTTTCCTTTTTTGGCCAAAATACAATTCTGTAATATTGTAATGTAGGTATACCCTGCTTAGAGAACTTAACAAATATTTAAACTTAAACGAGAAATTGTATAAAATAATCTTTGGCTTTGGTATACGGGGGAGAGAATGAATTTTTCACATAAATTCTGGTAATCTCAGCTATAAAGTAAATTCTAGGTTCATCTTTTTCTCTCTGATAGCCTACAAACTCTGTAAGCATAGAAACTATTTATTTAAAAATCTTTCTAAGTATTTGTAACAATGACATGTCCCTGTTGGTGATCTCAAATTACTTATTGATTGATGAAGTTAATCTGGGCTGCTATCAGCTAAACAGCCCAGCAGCTGGCACTCAGCAGGACTGGATAATTCTTGTTCCCTCTCAATTTATTGGAGCATTGACTGAACTGACTGGCTCAATTGATTGTCCCAGCATCATGGTGATACTGCCCTATTGGTGGTCCTAACTATCCAAGATAGAAAGCTTTCAGTTTGGCCTGCGAAGGTTAATATCCCACAATGAGTTATTGCTAGAATGTTTGTAGGAGTACTGGGGGAAACTCAAGACTCCAGAATTTTCTGAAAACTGGAAAAGTAGCAGTGAACATATGGGGCTAGAAGACTACCAGGTGTCCAAGAGAAGAAAGAGATTGGATGGCAGATACAGTCCTCAGTGCTTCTCAGTGTACTTATGTTCTTGGGTAGAACCCATTACAAATGTCTCCCTTCTCCCAAAGGTAGGGGAGAGTAAAATTCTAACAACCTCAAGTATAAACTTGTGTAGACCCCAAGAAAGAAGAGCAAACATTAAGAGAAGGGGTGGCAGTAGTGAGAAGGGTTACCTCCAGACCCAGGATGAGAATTGTCATAAACACAAACCATGTCACCCTTGCTTCTCTTGGTGATGCCTTCTATGGTGAGCTCTTGCTCCCCCACGCCGCCCACATACACAGACAAACTCACCTTATGTCTCCTCTCTCTTCTGATAATGCAGAACACAGGACAAAAAGAAATCATGTGTAAGCCATTTGTAATTTTTACCTATCTATGCTTTTAAATGGATTGGACTTACTTTGTCAATTTTTTTTCAAGGGGAGTGAGTAAATGTATTATATGCAGTTACATTTTTTTTTAATTTATTTGACAGATCACAAGTAGGCAGAGAGGCAGGCAGAGAGAGAGACAGGAGGAGGAGGCAGGCTCCCTGCTGAGCAGAGAGCCCGATGCGGGACTCAATCCCAGGACCCTGAGATCATGACCTGAGCCGAAGGCAGAGGCTTTAACCACTGAGCCACCCAGGCGCCCCTGCAGTTACATTTTTAAGGAGAGATGTTCAAAGTTTTTGTTTTCTGTTTTTTAGGGAGTTCCTGGATTTGACAATACCATAGAAGGACCTAAGGGCTTGAAAGGACAACGTGGAAGACAAGTAATTATGTGCACATTTGAAAGTAAACTTGCAATGATGTACATACTTGATACAGAAAAAAACATTTTTAGGAGCAAATATATTTTTTCCTCCTCCTTATCTGCTACTCTAGGATTCAAAAAACATTCCTTTGTTCTTCTGAATTTGGGGTGACTTGCTTCACCAAGCATTTATGAATGCAAACATCTAAGCCCCAACTTAAAATGTAGGGCTAGCTGATGGAAAGAACAAGCCAGTAAATTGTTGTCCTTTCCAGGATACAGAAGTCACGTACCCTAAGAAGACTTCATATTATTTGTAGTACATGATTTAAAAAAAAAAAAAGATCTGGTAGATCTATACAGCTTATAAACTAAGGTAAATCTCTTGGGATTAATCTCATGAAATCTCACAAACCACAATGTGATCATCTAACCTTATTATTCAGAATTTTTAAAAAGTGTAATTATCTGGAAAATGAGTTTCTCTCAATCTTCTTGATGAGGAAGTTCCCTTGGTGACTTCACCTGGGAGAGAGGTCTGATGCAGTGGAAAGAACTTTACTTTGGGGACAGGCCCTCATGCTCTGTGCCTTACCGGCTCTGTGGCCTTGGGTCATTTTCTGTAAAGCTCAATTTTCTCATCTACAAAATAAGATAAATAGCCTACTTTTGAAGGTTATGATGGGAATTCAGTGACTGACCTTGCCACATCATAACCCTTAGGTAAAAGCTACCTGCCATTTTTACTAAGTGGTAATTGTAAGTCTCACGTGTTTCAGTATAGACTCACAATTTTTCCTTCATTTTCTGTTTTGGGAAGACGTATGAGTATTGTGAGATTTTATTCACATGCAGCTGTTAATCTACACAGGTTAGCCAAACGGAACAAGAAGTCTGAATGTAGAAATCCAAACCAGTCATAGCCATACCAGACGCATGCGTCATTATCCACTGTGGCAACACAGTGAAGATAGATTGATTCAGATACTCTATAACTTACACCCAAAGACAAGTTAGACAGTGGTGATGAACAGATAAAGTCATGTCATTAGCATTTTGTCCTGTAGTTCCTCAATTCCTGCATAGACATATGGTTTATAACCGGTGGAAGCAATCCACATCCAGAGGGAGGATAACTCCCTAGTTAGTGTGTATGCATCCACTCTCCCTGCAGCACAAGCAGATGTTGAAGAGAAAATGTGTCAGTGCTGCCTAATTACTGTCGCCCATCTGTCTGTTCATTTGACAGGGTAGAAGAGGCTGGCCAGGCCCTCCTGGAACACCAGGCTCCAGAAGAAAGACAGTAAGAGCCCTTCTAGACAAGGAGACCCACTGCTCTGGTAGCCTATATTGTGATAAAAATGGCTGATTGTGGGGAGGGGTTGGGATAGTTCTGCTGGGGCTCGCTACCTTGGGGACACTTGGGAAAGCTCTGAGAACATAGCTGATGGACCACATGTGGAAAGCCCCGGAAAAGCTGAGGCAGGAAGGTGCTGGTTACTGATCAGGAGAAAAGCCTAGGCAAAGAGAACAAAAAGCAGCCAACTAGGGGAAGAGTGGTGAAAGTTTGGCCTTCTCACTACACTAATTGCCATAGCCAGTATGTCATTTTGAGTCCCAGACTCCGTTCTTCTGCTGAATTTTATGACTGCTTAGGAAAGTCAGTCCTAGTGTAAGTCCTCTGTTCTTCTATATTCACTGCCTTGCAAAGGTGTGTGTTCCAGGACACAAAAACATGTCCTTGGTGGAGTATAATAGCTGATCCTATGAATTTCTCAAACAATACAATGCATAATAAATACAGTGTACTAAACTAGTTTTTATTTGTGCTCAGTCCTAAAGCATATATGTAGAGTACTAATTGAGATTTAGTTGATATATAACATATTAGTTTCAGGTGTATAACGTGATTTGATATGTATCTGTGGCTGTGAAATAATCGCCACAATAAATCTAGTTAATACCACCATGTGTAGTTACAAATTTTTCCTTATACTGAAACTTTTAAGATCTATTCTCCTAGCAACTTTCAAATATATAATATGGCATTATTAGCTATAGTCTCCATGCTGTACATTACATTCCTATAATTTATTTTATGACTGGAAGTTTGTACCTTCTGACCCATTTTACCCATTTCATCCACCCACCACTCCTTACTTCTGGCAACTACTGAAAGTTCTCTGTGTCTAGAAGTCAAGTTTTTGGAGTTATTTGGGGTTTTTTAAAATATCTTTAAGATTCTACATATTAATGAGACTATACAGCATTTGTCTTTCTCTGACTTATTTCACTTAGTATAATGCCTTCAGGGTCCATCCATGTTGTTGCAAATGATAGGATCTCCTTTTTTTATTGGCTGAATAATATTCTGATATCTATATATCTATATCTATCTATATATCTCTATCTCTATCTCTATCTCACACATCCCTTATCCATTCATTCATCAGTGGATGCTTAGGTTGCTTCCATGTTTGGGCTCTTGTGTAAGTAATACTGCAGTGAACACAGGGGTGCAATACCTGTTTTATTAGTGTTCTCATTTCCTCTGGATATATAAACCCAGAAGTGGAATTGGTGGATCATAAGGTAGCTCTATGTTTAATTTTTTGAGGAACCCCATACTGTGGAAAAATTAGAATGAAATTGGATCATTTGTTTATGCAACCTTTTGGGGTCTAATTTATTTGTTTTGTCATATTTTTTCAATAAGTACTTTTTTTTTTTAATTTGACAGAGGTCACAAGTAGGCAGAGAGGCAGGCAGAGAGAGGGGGGGGAAGCAGGCTCCCTGCTGAGCAGAGAGCCCGATGCAGGGCTCGATCCCAGGACCCTGGGATCATGACCGGAGCTGAAGGCAGAGGCTTTAACCCACTGAGCCACCCAGGTGCCCCTCAATAAGTACTTTTTTAAAAAGTTTCTGTGGCCGACCACTTGGTAGAGCACAGAAACTATAAAACAAAATTTTTATCTAATAGATAACTAATTAAATACACTTAAATACTTGCATTACGTTCTATATTAGACCTGTCTTTTTTTCATTTTGCAGCATTTCCTTTCCATTCTTCGTTATCTAGCTTTCTTCAACTTCCTCCACCTCCCTCCTCAATTCTTTATGTTATTTATTGAGCACAGATAAGAACTAGTTTGATATATTGCATTTTTTATGCATTGTATTTTCTGAGCAGAAGTTCATAGAACCAACTATTACACTTCATCAAGAAGATATTTTTGTCCTGGATATCAACCTTTTGTCTGTACTGTCATTTGCAAATATCTTCTCCCATTCCGTGGGTTGCCTCTTTTGTTTTTTTGACTGTTTCCTTTGCTGTGCAGAAGCTTTTGATCTTGATGAAGTCCCAAAAGTTCATCTTCGCTTTTGTTTCCTTTGCCTTTGGAGACATGTCTTGAAAGAACTTGCTGTGGCTGATATCGAAGAGGTTATTGCCTATATTCTCCTCTAGGATTCTGATGGATTCCTGTCTCACGTTGAGATCTTTTATCCATTTTGAGTTTATCTTTGTGTATGGTGTAAGAGAATGGTCGAGTTTCATTCTTCTGCATATAGCTGTCCAGTTTTCCCAGCACCATTTATTGAAGAGACTGTCTTTTTTCCACTGTATATTTTTTCCTGTTTTGTCGAAGATTAATTGACCATAGAGTTGAGGGTCTATATCTGGGCTCTCTACTCTGTTCCACTGGTCTATGTTTCTGTTTTTATGCCAGTACCATGCTGTCTTGGTGATCACGGCTTTGTAGTAAAGCTTGAAATCAGGTAACGTGATGCCCCCAGTTTTATTTTTGTTTTTCAACATTTCCTTAGCGATTCGGGGTCTCTTCTGATTCCATACAAATTTTAGGATTATTTGCTCCAGCTCTTTGAAAAATACTGGTGGAATTTTGATCAGAATGGCATTAAAAGTATAGATTGCTCTAGGCACTATAGACATTTTAACAATGTTTATTCTTCCGATCCAAGAGCATGGAATGGTCTTCCATCTTTTTGTGTCTTCTTCAATTTCTTTCACGAGTGTTCTGTAGTTCCTCGAGTACAGTTCCTTTACCTCTTTGGTTAGGTTTATTCCCAGGTGTCTTATGGTTCTTGGTGCTATAGTAAATGGAATTGATTCTCTAATTTCCCTTTCTGTATTTTCATTGTTAGTGTATAAGAAAGCCACTGATTTCTGTACACTGACTTTGTATCCTGCCACGTTACTGAATTGCTATATGAGTTCTGTTAGTTTGGGGGTGGAGTCTTTTGGGTTTTCCATATAAAGAATCATGTCATCTGCGAAGAGAGAGAGTTTGACTTCTTCATTGCCAATTTGGATACCTTTTATTTCTCTTTGTTGTCTGATTGCTGTTGCTAGGACTTCTAATACTATGTTGAACAAGAGTGGTGAGAGTGGGCATCCTTGTCATGTTCCTGATAAAGAACTCCTGAAACTCAACACACACAAAACAGACAATCATATCAAAAAATGGGCAGAAGATATGAACAGACACTTCTCCAATGAAGACATACAAATGGCTATCAGACACATGAAAAAATGTTCATCATCACTAGCCATCAGGGAGATTCAAATTAAAACCACATTGAGATACCACCTTACACCAGTTAGAATGGCCAAAATTAGCAAGACAGGAAACAACATGTGTTGGAGAGGATGTGGAGAAAGGGGAACCCTCTTCCACTGTTGGTGGGAATGCAAGTTGGTGCAGCCACTTTGGAGAACAGTGTGGAGATTCCTCAAGAAATTAAAAATAGAGCTTCCCTATGACCCTGCCATTGCACTACTGAGTGTTTACCCCAAAAATACAGATGTAGTGAAAAGAAGGGCCATCTGTACCCCAATGTTTATAGCAGCAATGGCCACGGTTGCCAAACTGTGGAAAGAACCAAGATGCCCTTCAATAGATGGATGGATAAGGAAGATGTGGTCCATATACACTATGGAGTATTATGCCTCCATCAGAAAGGATGAATACCCAACTTTTGTAGCAACATGGACAGGACTGGAAGAGATTATGCTGAGTGAAATAGTCAAGCAGAGAGAGTCAATTATCATATGGTTTCACTTATTTGTGGAGCATAATAAATAGCATGGAGGACAAGGGGAGATGGAGAGGAGAAGGGAGTTGAGGGAAATTGGAAGGGGAGGTGAACCATGAGAGACTATGGACTCTGAAAAACAATCTGAGGGTTTTGAAGGGGCAGGGGGTGGGAGGTTGGGGGAACCAGGTGGTGGGTATTGTAGAGGGCACGGATTGCATGGAGCACTGGGTGTGGTGCAAAAATAATGAATATTGTTATGCTGAAAAAATTTAAAAAAATAAAAAATAAATTTTTGTAACTTGGAACACCTCTTCTTTGCTAGGCAGAGAAAATGGAAATGGAAACAGAAGTTACATTTAAAACATGCAGAATTTAGTTGTTGGGAAAACACTTTATTACTGCTGCTGTGTTAATGCACCTAAAGATAAAGCAATACATTTGCTATTCATTTCACTTTCTAAAAGGGTGTAGCCAGCTTACATACCCTGGGAAAATATTTTGAACTTAAAGAATATCATCCAAGATTTCCTGGCATGGAATGTGTGCTTTTATTGTTTTATAGAAGCTATAGTCTCTCTAGAGGCTAACACAGTATCACCATGTATTGTTTAAACTGCACAACTCCCAAGAAATATGTCCCCATTTGTATTATAGATTCAGCAGCGTCATTCAGGAGTAAAATTGGGACTTCCAGCTAAAGATGGCAAAGTCCATGTGTTTTCTTTTCCTATTCCTTTTTGTGCAATTTACCAAAAACAACACAAGAAATTAGAGATTAACAGAGTGACCACATGTGATAACAAATATCAGCCAGTTCTTTTTAAATCTAGAGCCTAATGAAGGGAGGCTTTGGAAAGCTTATATCTATACTTCAGACCTCATCAGGGATCAGATTTCTCTAAAAGGAGTTTTCGGGTTTTGAGAAGATCAGAGAATATACCCATAGAAAGTGTAACAGAAGAGACAGAAATCATGGGAAACTAAAGAATATTTCATTTTTAATATCTACAACCAGCAGTCTGGTCCATGGAGGCAGCAAAGATTGAAGAAACAGTGACTGTTGTTAAGCTATGATTTAAGGGGCTTTATGTGAGTTCCATGAATCTCTTAAATGACCAGATTTGAAGGGAGAGGTAGCATGAGTAAGAAATACTTCATGGTGAGAAAGGTTTAAGACAACATATCTATATCAAAGCCACTGACCTAGGTCCTGCTACGCCACTTACAGTTACTCAGTAAATAGGTGGCCCTCTTCAAAAGTGATTAATAATCAGAAATATTATTAATCTTCATTATTAAATAGTTATTAAGACTTATGCATAGAAAGAAGAGGAAAACAACATGAGCAAAGGGCAAATAAACCCTCATTGGGAGGGGAATTATTCAAGGAAAAGACAGAACGACTCTGGCAAATAGTTCTCTAAAGTCTCAAAAAAATTAGGGCTTTGCAATTGTTCTAAAAAGAGTCTAAGGAATTGACAAGATGATAGAAAGTGAAGAAAGCAAGCTGGTAGTGTTTGGGGGTGATCAGTGTGCAATATAGGTTATGAGCAACAAAAAAATAAGAATAAGACTGAAAATGTAGTTGGGCATATAGTAATCAAGAAACTACAAAAGCAATGATAGAGATAGACAATGGAGAGTCAACAACTGTACAATTTGCATTTCTGGATATTGTAAAAAATATCCAGAAGTATAATAAAGAGAATTCCTTATAAAATTCTCAGATGTGCAGTATAAAAGGCGTCTTCTGACTCAGAAAAAAACTGATACAAAAACATTAACACTGAGGTACATCCTAGTGAAATTACCAAACTTGTTATGTAAAGGAAGAAACTCCAAGAATTTCCAAAAGAAAGAAAACCCAGTCTGTCTTCAGCCTTCTTCACAATGATCAGGGCCAAAAGGGAGAGCAGTAGAATAGGTAGAGTTCTGAGGGAAATTCAGGGGTCCAAGATTTTCATACCCACATGGGTAGTCCTTTGTACATATGAGTAATTAATATGATACAGCCTTAGAAAATTCAGGCAATACAGTCCCCATTTATTTTGTTCTTCTATTAAATTCAAGTAAAATTCAATACATTTTAATTTTATAATAGCATAAGTACCATGATCCTTTCTTTATTAAATATTTAGAACTCTGTAAACATGCATAAAAAGATGGCGGGAATCATGATTGCCAAATGTTAACAATAGATTTATCTACATAGGATTTGGGATGACTTAAATGTTTGTTTTTTTTTTCCTGCTTTTGAATAATTAAAGATCAGCCTGTATCATATTTATAATAATAGTAAAGTCATTATCCTTTCAGAAAGAAGAAAAATTTATACCACTAATTGAAAAACTCTGAAATTAAGGAGGGCACAGATTGTGTGAAGCACTGGTGGTTATATGCAAACAATGAGTCCTGGAACACTACATCAAAAACTAATTATATACTGTATAGTGCCTAACATAATAAAAAGGCAGAGGTTTTAACCCACTGAGCCACCCAGGTGCCCCCCCCAGTGGTTTTGATAAAGGGAGTATGAACCCTTCAGTTTAGTAATCCTACTACTCCCCTCTTTCCTCACACCTTTGACCCAGAAATAGTCAAATATACACTATGAAATACACTTCCTGTTTTCCTGCCTCTACTTCATTACTTAGGCTATACCCTTTAGTAGAAAGACTTCTTTCATTTTCATCTACCCATCAAACTCCTAACATTCTGTGAAACCCATATCAAAAGTATCTTCCAGGGTGTCTGGCTTGGTTTAGTCAGTAGAGCATGAGACTTTTGGTCTCGGGGTTGTGAATTTGAGCCTCACCTTGGGTGTAGAGATTCCTTAAAAAAAACTTTTAAAAACAATCTCTCTCTAGGAATATTTTCCTAATTTGACAAACTGGATATAATTGCTTTCTTTGAAACCGATATTCCATCTTCCCCTTTCTTATGGCATTTGCCATACTATGCCTTGTAAATATTGTAATATTTATCTCTTTACCCCCAAACCCGAAATATGAGGGTCTCCTGAGGTGAAGAACTGTGTGTGTGTGTGTGTGTGTGTGTGTGTGTGTGTGTGTGTGTGTGAAATCTTTATGCTCCCATGGTTCTCATACAATATGCTTTGTAGGTAACAGATTATTGGCAGATATTTTTCTGAATGTGTCTGAAGAATTGAACCAGAACACATAAACCCTTGGAGAGAGCTTCTCTTCCTCCCTCTGACAGAGAGGATTTAAACTCATCTCAAAATGTTAAAGAGATAGGTCTCCATTTCTCCAGATATACACAGTCTGTTTCCTAAGTAACAATCGATTTTAACTGAAATATGATTAGAAGAATTTAGAGTCTGCAGTACTGGCCTCATGTAGAATTTTGATCTAACAATCTCAAATTTCCATCAAGAAAATGTCATCTGATATATACTGAGTTTTGCAAATCCTGGTGTCAGTCTTGCTATGACTTTACTGAGACATCCTAAGTTAGACAATAAAACATCTTTGTGTGATTTCAGATTGTTTATCTGAAATATATCCAGGCCCTGACCTTACATATGAGAGAGTATTAGGGAAATTCCACTTGATTATGTAGTGCTATTATTTTGATTGACTATTTCATTAACCTACTGAATTGAGAACTTCTGAATATTTGGACTGATTCTCTGATTTTTGACAGATAAGCTTATTTTTTGGCTTTTTAGGGGGGAGAGGGTTAAATTAGTCTGGTTATCTTTAGATTCTGAAATTAATCTATAATAAAGTTCAAATGAGTCAGTTCTCCTAGTTTTTCCTCTGGCTTCTTGCCTTGTGGCCACTCCACTCCTGATTTTTTGATTATTTGATAGTATTTTGGAAAAATGCAAAGAAATTAAATTCAAATCAGCCAATTTTGGAGCTTGTGATCAGCACTAGTAATAGTTTAGGGGAGGACAAATTATTGACCACAAACTGCTCTCTTAAGTATGTACAGGTTTCAGTTGTCTCTGTGATTTTAATAACCTATTGCCCTAGGATAAGAAATTCAGAATTGGCAACCTTTTACTGTCCTTTGGCAGTGGATAATTAAATGTTTTAAGCAATATGTGGGTACTTAAAAAAAATAATGAGTACCTTAAGGTGTTCATTACTAATTTAAATATAAAAAGCATTTTTTTCAGAGTTAATGGTACCTACCTTTCCTATTTTAGGCAGCTCATGGCCGAAGGGGACATACAGGCCCACAGGTATAATGATTTTTTTTCTTAACTCCAAATGATAAGTATCCTGTGTCCCATCAAGGAATAAGAATAAAGGCTCTGAGAAACCTCTTTCAAGACTAAATATTTTAGGCTACAATTTCAAGAACTCAAATTGTAATGTGAAGACTTGGGCAATCCAACCAAAGAATATAAAAAAAATTAATGACAAGAAACACTAGTTGGCCCAATAACTATTAAATTTAACTTTGGATTTCACATGATTTCACGTGCAAACTAGTAACTCAGTTGAGTGATCTTTTAGATTTTTGTTCAATTAACTCTGAAATCTTACAATTTACATAAACCCTTTATAAACTGGGAGTACATACAGCAAAACCCTGATACATATTGGACATTCTGAGTGTTTTATTCAAAAGTTTACTGTACCAAATATTGTATCTTATCGTCTTTGTACATGTTGGTGATATACATGACTCATGTATCTGTAATATTTATGAAAAAGATATTGTGACTGAGAATTTATGCAATTGAGGAAACACAGACCCTCAGGTTGAAAATACAATGAGGATAAACAATAAATCTGCTCTCAATCACAGCATGGTGAAACTCTGGAATGCTAAAGATAAAACATCTTAAACATGACCAGAGAAAAAAAGCATTTTTACTCTTGAAAGGAATAACAGATTAGATTGCAGCAGACTTATATTTGGCAATAAAACATGGCAGAAAACAAAATGATATATGCAAGTACAGAAGAAAAATAGCTGTTAATTTTGAATTTTATACCTAGCTGAACTGTAAATGAACATGTAGACATTTTCAGACCAATACCAAGAGAGTTAACCATCTACAGACATTACTCAAACACACTTCAAGGTTAAACCTCAACAAAAAGGAAAAAAAAATCCAGAATAACAGCATGAAATAAGATTGGGGAGAGAACGTGTTGAGAAATTCCTCTGAGATCTAGGAAAAGGCAATTAGCAAGGGACATTCAATCACATCTGTATAATAAATGGAGCATAAACTTAGGCTATCCCAATAGTTGACTAAATTATGCTTTTTAATCCTTCCTCTTCTTTGGAATTCTTATCTCTGTAAGAGTTCAAGGGCAATGTGAAGATACTGCTCAAATTTTGACCCATAGATATTTAATCTATTTGAATATAGTGTTGTAAGATGTCTGGATATTTGTGAAGAAAATGTAAACTGAGTTTCTTCAGGCCAAATGCCCAAGTGAAATACATTACAAACATTACAGAAAAAAAGGAATGTGTGAGTGTGCATAAGTATAAAAACTTGAAAGAAAATATACCAACATAGTAACTGTGGCTGTCTCTGCTTGAAGAGATTATAGAAAATTTTTATTTCTTTATCTTTCATTTTTTTGCCAAAAATCCTGCACTGACATCGTGGTTAACAGTATAGAATCTTGTACATAAAGGAAACAAAATTCTCAGGAAACGGTGTTAACAGGTTGATTCTCTCTCACCACAGGGGAAAATAGGCATCCCAGGCCCAGATGGACTTGAAGGCTCATGGGGACTTAAAGGCCCTCAGGTACATCTCAGAACCAATCAGCGTTTGAGAACATAAAGAAGAATCTGGAGTCTTGAATCCTTGGAATCCTTCAGACCTCTTTTCAGAAATATAGATGTTTAAAGTGTTTTCAGGGAAATAAAGTAAGGAAGCAACAAGACCAGAATTTGGTCTCCTTTAAGTTTTGTCTTGTCAAAAGATGAAAAGAGAATGAACATGCTGGGTAGGGCCCTTGTGCAATGAGTTCAAGCTAGCTAGAATATCTAGGGGAGACCTTGAACCAAAGAAAATGTTGAGCCCCCAATCTGGGAATTTTGGTCAATGTAGCACAGTAAGAACCCAGAACACACATTATCTGGATGACTGTGTGGTAGAAAAAACTGGCTCTACTCTAGGAAAGAATTGTTCCAAATACAGCTGAAGTCTTCAGTGGAGTGATCTATAGTGTGGCACTCTGCCTGCCTTCTTGCTCACTTCCCCAGAGAGCTGCCTCCAGCACTTTTTCCTTCGCAAGGAATAAACCATGGTTGGCTCTTACAAGCAATCACATGAGGGGAAAGAAGCATGTGCCAGAAAGAGCAAAATGTAGCCTGGAATAATACTGAGAAGGGAAAGGAAGTCCTAGAAAATGCCGAGGTGAAGCAAAGGAGGTCAGACTATAGAAAATTAGAACCTATTTTTTTCTCTCCAAACTTTGTTATGAAATCTTGAGAAAAAATTTTGCTGTTTGGTAACTGCAGGACAAGCAAAGTTTCTATAATTTTTCAAAGTTTTAATCCACATAGTAAAAAAATAACTATTTTGTGTTGGCAGCTTGGTACGTGGAAGTTGGGTGAAATATCCTTAGACATCAGATGAGAAATTGTGTTCACATTTTTACCAAGATTTCAGAGCAGTAAACAGTCTGCCCCCTTGGACCTCTGTCTCTTTTGAACTTGATTGGGGTTTTTTTTTGTTTGTTTGTTTTACTTGCCAGCTGAGGAAAGTTCACGTTTCTTATCTTCAAGTGAGACATTTGCCACTGGGGTTGTGAGGAAACATTTCAATAGATTGGCTGGCTTTATTTCATGCTAAACAAATAATACAACAACATCCCTTCTTCCACTTTACAGACTCTTCTTTCATGACATAATTTAAAAGGAAATGGAAAAACCAAACACAGCATGAAGGTTTCTCTGCCTAATGTACAGAGGCCACAATTAATAGGCAATATAATATTCTAGAAGTAGAAATACCCAGATTTCATCTTACCACATGCTATATCTTATGACCAGTGTTCAGTGTGATTATTGAACAGAAAATTCTTTTTAATATTTTGGTTTCAGATTATGTAATTAGGGATTATTTTCTTTATCACGTAAGAAATATATGCATTTGGAGTCTAAAGATGCTTAGGATGATTAGAAAGCAATCCTGAAAAATTCAACTGTGCACTATTTGTTCAGTCGACTATAAATGCCCCCAGTGGCCTAATTTACAAATTGGACCTTTGTATATACACAAGGAGATCTCACAGGTCAAGACAGAGCCAAGGGCATGAATAGAGTTCTCTTTTCAGTTTCTGTCCGTGTGACTGACTTATCATGTCCATCTTTAATATTCAAGTTAACATTCAAGTGTTCTCTTCTAGAAAGAAAATAATGCTTTAATTCTCTGTATGCTCTGTATGTATGTAGGGTCCCAGAGGAGAGACTGGTGTGAAAGGCGAGAAAGGAGGTCTGGGAAGTAAAGGTCCTCAGGTAGGTAATGAGAGAAAATGACTGCATCTGGCTTTGATCCTGGCTTTCATACAGATGTCCTTGCAGTTTCTTTTCTGCAGAAAGAGTTATTTACTGCCTGTGAACCAGCAAAATTTTGAGTTCAGTGTTCATTGTGGTTGAAGGCCACATCATATTGTGGTCTATAACTTGCAGGGTGGGCTTTCTGTCAGACACAGAGGTGGAAGATGGCTTATAGCCCTCTTTGCCTCAACATCTCAGCCATTACTGTGGGTTAAAAATTCCTCCTCTGTAGAAATCAGGTCATGCCACTCCCCTGATCTCCTCAAGGGCTTCCCATTGCACCAAGAATACAACCCTCTTCAGTGCTCCTCAACCTAGCTATGCATGATAATCTCCTGGGAAGATTATAAAACACTCCACCACCTGGAACCCTCACCAGACCATTTAAATCAGAATCTCTGAAGGTAAGGTCAGGGTATCAGTAATTTTAAATTCTCCCCAGGTGATTCTAGTAGACAGACCCAGTGCTGGGACTGACTTTCCCACATCATTTCACCAAATTTAAAGTGTCTGAGAATCACCTGGACAACTTGCTGAAGTGTGGATTCTGATCAGTAGGTCTGGGGTGGGTCCTGAGGTTCTACACTTCCAGTGAGATGCTGTTGGTTCAGACCACACATTGAGTAGCAGATCCCTACATGATCTGGCCTTTGCCTAACTGTTATTATATTTGTTTAGCTTTTTGTCTCCCCTTCTACACTTTAAACTCCCCGAAGGCCAGAACTTTGTCTTACTTGTACTATATCCCAGAGCCTAGAACGACAAGGCTGCCACACAGTAGAGCTCAACATGTATTTAATATAATAAATATAATTATTATTACTATATCATAATATTTACTTATTATATAATAAGTAAATGAATGAATGAGACACAACTGGGGCGTGTTCTTGCCTAATGGGATAAAGGGAATATATTCCTTTGTGTCCATCAGGCAGTGGTCCAACACATAAGTGTCCGTGTTCATCATCAAAATATTTAAGAAACTATTTTGCATAAACCTATATCTCTTGATGCAGTATTTTAATCCCTATTAATTACTGCTCATCAGGATATTTGTTCCCAGTTTGATGAACGTACTCCTTCAAACAGCATGAAAACTTTAAAAATTTCATTGTAGAACTACATTGAAAAGTAACAGTTTTGTATTCACATCCTGAATCACTAAAAACTTGCTGGCACCATGAGTTAGGATTTAAAAAAAAAAAAAAAACCAACAAATGCCAAGGGAAACATATATCAGGTGATTATCTCATCTGTTTATATAAAATACTAAGATGTAGATGGGTTGAAATCCAAAGAATTTGGTAATTCTCTTCTTCTAGAAACCAAAATTGTATCCAAGTGACTGTTGCTCAAATAAGTTATTCCATTTGCCCTGTAGTGTACTTGTCTGAGTGAGACCCCTTTAATCTTGCTCTGGCAAGATTGGTTATAGTTATAAATCATTCAACCTCTTGGCATTGCCAACTATAGTCAAAAGGTACCACTTCTCTCTACCTCTTCCATTTATCTGGTTAGAAACCATGGTTTTCTTTCTTTGCTTGCTTTTCTTGAAATACCCTTGTCAACACAGTGAAAGTGCTATTTCAAAGATGTGTAGAATTTTCTATATTCAGGACATAATGAATAGGATCTCAAAATTGTTGTTTCCAAAGGAAAACCACAGGAGACAAACACAACCAGGTATACAAGAGAGTGTTATTCTCTATTGGCTCTATAAATCCACTGACATAGGCTTAAGAACTAGCCTCTTAAGTGGAATAACAGGAGTGTTTTTTGTTTTGTTTTTTAAGTAAGCTCATGCCCAGCATGGAGCCCCACATGGGTCTTGAATTTACAACCCTGAGATGAAGACCTGAGCTGGTATCAAGAGTCAGATGCTTAACCAACTGAGCCACCCAGACATCCCTCACAGGAGTGTTTTAACTGAAGACTTTAAATTTTTCTTAGTATATACATTTAGAAAAAAGCATGTGATTTCTGTTGACAGTGTTCTGAAGGTTTATTAATTTATGCAGTGTTGGGGCATTCTGAATAAATCAAAATGTGTTAATTCAACCAAGTATATGGCTATGACATGAAAGAAATATAGTCCATGGCACAATGAAAAAGAAGGTATAACTTTGAAAAGAACAGTGTATTCTTTTATACCTTCCTTTGTTCCCCTGTTTGGTTTACCTTAGGGTACTACACTAATGTAATCAATGCCTAGAAAAGGAATGGAAAATCAGACATACTTAGTAATTCTAGTTAGTACTGGAATTATTCTTAGTTGTTTTAGTGAAATAATCACTAATGTCACATGCAATATCAAGAAATGTTGGAATTATTCCATGCAAACTTGGAACACAAAGTAGAATTTCTGTTGTCATCTTTATAAAGCATAACATAGTGGTCAAGGGCATAGTGCCTGAAACCAAGCTGCTTGGGTTTGCCAGTTTTGTACCTTCTCAGGTGTGTGGCCTTGGGTAATTTATTTAACCTCTCTGTGCCTCAATTTTCTCTGCTATAAAATAAGGATGGTGGTAATAGGAGCTACCTCATCAGGTGAAAATTAAATGGTTTAATATATGTTGGTTCTTAGAACAGTGCCTGCAATATAGTAAGCACTGTGTTAAGTGTTTATTACTACTATATTGCATCAGTATTACCTAATTTATCAGGGACATTTTATGCCCAAAGCATGAGAGTCTCCAATCCAAGGAAGGCCATGATAATAATAACAATATAACAATGTATAATCTGAACTGCAATGGTTGGATTTCATCATTCTTTGTAATCTAGGATGGATGATCCATCAACATTCCTTTTACTCAAATATTTACTGAGTACATCCTGTATGTAAGCCCTATATTATATAATATATAGTAGGATCCTACAGTAGGATAAAAGCACTTGCTCCCAAGGCACCTCGGTGGCTCAGTGGGTTAAGCGTCTGCCTTCAGCTCAGGTCATGATCCGAGCATCCTGGGATTGGGCTCACTGCTCCATGGGGAGTCTGCTTCACCATTCCCCTGATTTTGCATTCTCACTCGCTTACTCTCTCTCCCTCCAAATAAATAAATAAAAGATTTTAAAGATAGACTGAAAAGAAATAAAAAATTAAAAAATAATAATAATAAAGTAAAAAAAAAAAGATTTTAAAGAAAAAAAATAAAGGACATGCTCCCAATCTCATAAAGGTCACCAACACAAACAAATAGTTGAGACGTGACGTACTAAATGCTAAAATGGAATTACACCCAGGGTAGAGTGGTGGGAGCAAGAACTTTTTGGAGCAGGAGAAGAGTGATTTAGCTTTTGCAGGATAGGGAAGTGTTTTCCAGGTGGCCAAAGGAGAGGCAGGCATCTGGGAAAAGGAGCCGGCTAATCTAAAAAGAGATATCAAAGTGAGTTGGGGAACCGTAAATGGTTCAACATGGATGGAGTATAGGATGCATGAAAGATTAGAAGTTGAGGTTAGAGTCTGTGTCTTAAGATTAGCGCTGTCAAGATCAACATCTCGGATATCTTGGGGTTTGTTCTTGCATTAGCCCACCTCTTGCTGGCTCTTGTCTTTTATTTTCTAAGAATTAGCTCACATCGGACTCTTAAAGACACTGAGCATTTAATCTCCTTGGGTAGCTCCAGCCCAGCCTCACAACTTACTGATTATCAGTGTAGGCAGTTTTACCCCATGAAAATAAGTGACAGGTTTCCTTTTGAACATGAGAAGATCCTAAATCTCTTCTGCCTGTGCGGCCATATTCCATCCGAAGTCAGGGTGTCCTTGGCACTGCCCCAGTCATTAATCCCAAACTCCTACTTCAATCCTTTCTGATAAGATGCTATCTAAAGACAGGTTTTAAAAACATTTACACTCTAAACATATCCTATCATCACTTAACACTTGTATTAACCAGTTGTGATTGCAGAAGGCTCTGTGACAGAGTCAAAACATGAGCAAAGGACCACCAGCCCAAGTCCTGAGAGTGGAGAGTAGATCTGGCCCCAGCCTCCTGCATCAAGCTTGGAGATTCATATTTTTAAAACTCCAGTCTCAGGTGGTGCATGATTAGTAGAGTTTAGGAATCCTGTCCCAGATACAGGTCTCAAAACAGCAGAAAGAGTTGCCAAGAGGTAAGTGTAGAGTCAGAATCAGGTTTAGCTCCCTTCTTAGCCTTCTATTTGGTGATTTGGAATTAAATGCTTTGACAATCTGATTTTTATTTGTAAACAATAGTGTCAATCATATGTATCTCATTGTGATTGAGAAAGCATGTATAATGTCAATATATACTTCGGAGCATAGTGCTTTTCACAAAATAAATGCTCAATAAAAGGCTGCCATTACAACAAAGCCAATAAAGATTTCACCTCTAGCTGGTGTCCTTTTCCTTTGAATGCCCTAATCTTCTCTTTATATTCCATAGATGCTCTTGCCCTCAAATCAAAGCAACTTTTTTGACTCCTTGATATCTTGGAGTGGCAGGGAGTTTTTTATCTTTCCTTTAAAAACATGGTCCCTATACAGTCAGCAGTATTTGAGTAGTTAATACATCTGGGTAACCATTCATGGAGCTTGAGACCCATTCAAGGAGTCACAAACCCCAGTCTGGTACTTGGTGTGGTCCTGCGCAGGAAATAGAATCATGTTTTCTGATGTTCAGATGACCATGTTCTGTCTGCATGTATGCATCCATCCATCTAAGAACTCTTCCATTTTGGAGGGCTTTCAAACAGGATAATCTCTCATTGTTCTTGTGTGTACTTAAAGGGACTACACATGAGGGAATCTCCCTGAAATTTCCTTCATCTCATAGAGCTGGTTATGTTGGAAGGAAGACTTCCAGTTTGCCCCTTATTGTCAAGGACAGTTGAAATCTACTTTATCCTTCTGTGAATTACATAAAAAATGTCATATGGAAAATCAAACTAACATATCATTTCATCCCTCTTGGGGGCTATTCCTGGATAGGTGCATGGATTGCTAGATGGATGGATGGGTACATTGATGGGTTCTAGGTATTGTACTAAGTTCCAGAGATAGGAAGCCAATTGCGTATACCCCTTCCTTCAAGAACATACAGGCTAATATCTAGTAGGTAAGAAAGAGAAATAAATGAACAATTATATACAAAGTGGAGAGTCAGTTTTTCAGGACCAAACAGAGTCAGGGGGTTCAGGTATTCTTGAAACAGTGATGCTAATGGTAAGATTTTCACAAGAGGGAGATTGTGTCTGGACAGAAAAATGAACCAGCTAAGGAAAGAACTTGCACAAGTGTGAAAACCTAAGACAACAAGAAGTATTTGGTGACTGCAGATGGTTCATGCATAAGCATATAGTGATTGAAGTAGTCTCAGATGACTATGGAGACCTGCAATACCAACATTTTAAGGGATTTTATATATTAATAAATACCATCAACTTTATTCTGAAGGCTACTCGGAATTCAGAATTTCAGAAAAAGTGGTAGCATCAGCCTGACATTCTAAAGCAAAAGGGAAAAGGAGAAAAGAATGGATTAGAGAGAGGCCAGGCTACAGTCATAGAATCCAGGAATTTAGACAGAAAGAAGAAAGCCCTGAAGGTAGGTGATAGCAATAGGAATGGAAGAGAGAAGGTAGGTGATAGCGGAAGGGAGATGGGTATAGAAAGGCAATAGAATCTGTAGGACTTGTAACTGATAGGTTTTGAGAGATAAGCTAAAGAAGGGCTCTAGGATGATTCCTAAGTTTCCAGCTTGGGATTCAGGGAGGAGAAGGGTAGCACCATTCCTTAAAAAGAGAATATAAAACCAAGAATGACTTAGAGTAAGTATAATTATCTTTGGCAATCAATTCCTACGAGATATCCAAGAGACATTTTAATATACAAGTCTGGCTTTTAGTTGAGTGGTTTGAGCAGGAGATCCAGGTATTTAGGAGTTATTTTGTAAAGTAGTGGTTATGTGACTCTATGGGGGTGTCACTCAGGAGGAGGGGATTAAGTGAGAAAATAAGGTCCAAGAATGGAGCCTCAGGGTACATGGAGATTTAAGAGGCAAATGGAGAAGAGACCAGAGAGGCACCAGGAAGTCCCTGGTGTTACAGAAATTAAGGGAAAAGTTTCAAAGAATACATGATCAAATTCAAATAAGGTAAGAACAGAAAACAGTCTAATTAGATCGAATATGAAGGTCATGGGAGCTAGCCCCAGGCACTGGTGGAAGTGAGATTTCCAAGGGAAAGAGTTGAGAGCTATGGAAGGTGAAGAAATCAAGATCTTCTTTTGAGATAAAGAAAGGAGAGAAAATTGTGGAAAGATCATTATTATCTTCCCTACGTGACCAATATACTATTCAACAGTCTTTCCTATTAGGAAATTTTTTGTTCAACTTACTACATTTTTAATTTTTTAAAGACAAAAAGGTTAATATCATAATTTTTTTCTGAATAAGATTTGCTAAGTATCATGCTTGCTACACAGATTTGGTTTATTTATTTTTAAATTCAGCAATTGTGGCCAAAAAAGGGGGGGGGACTTTTTTTAAAGATTTTATTTATTTGACAGAGAGGGAACACAAGCAGGGGGAGTGGGAGAGGGAGAAACAGGTTTCTTGATGAGCAGAGAGACCGATGTGGGGCTGATCCCACACCCTGGGATAATTAAATGAGCCAAAGGCAGGCGCTTAACGACTAAGCCACCCAGGCACCCCCTCAAAAAAAAAATTTTTTTTTAAATGATTTCAATTCACTGGTGTTGAGATTATTTACAAGTACCTATGTAAACATTTTAACCTCAAGATTTCTGTTGCCATATGTTTGGATATTCCAAAGGAAAAATCTGATCCCAAGTGTTAATAACACAAGAAGGCAGTTGGGCTGTCTCTGAATTGGGATTTTTAAGTGTTCAGCTCTAACGCTATCCCAATAAACATGCTTTCTAGAACATTAAAGAGACTTCTATTAGATCAAATAGATATTCCATATGTGTGTGTATTTATCCCTCTGTTTAACTTTTGTTATGCTTTTCAATAAGATCTTATAAGATCTTAAAGCTTTCTTTATATAGGTCTTTTATCTTTCTTGTTAAATTCTACATATTTTATAGTTTTTATTCTTTCTAATGGTAAATGGGAATTTATGTACATTTACTTTTCTAACTTATCAGTAGGAAAGAGAAAACTATATAAGAATATTTATCTGGTATGCCTGAACATATCTTGTTATTAATGCTAATTATTTTGGTGAAGTTTCTTGAGCTTTCTATTGCACAAATTATATTGTTTGCAAATAAATAAAAGTTTACCTTAAAAAACTGCTTTCTACCAAAACAAGGAACCAGACAGAATACAGTTAAAGGCAAATGTCACTTGGAATGCCTTCTTTAAACGTTAGACATTTTAGCAACATCTGCTGTAAAAGCAAAACAGTGAGACTGTAGAATCTCTTTGGAAAAGAAGACTCACAAGAAAGCATGATCATTTAAGTCACATCTGTCATGAATTACTTTATTAATTTTCTTTTATTTACTAGTTTTTATTTGACAGCTGTGATACTTTTTTCCAGAGCAGAAATCAATAAAGCCATAACTCTTTCCCCATCTGTGGTTCATTTTCCTCTTAGAAGAGACACAAAGGATTTAGGGGAAATTTGCTTTATGTTCTGCTATATTTGCAATCCTTGTTTTGTTTCAGGGACCTCCAGGACCAGGAGGAGAAGCAGGGAATCCAGGCCATTTGGGAAGTCAAGGAAATAAAGTAGGTCACATTCTTTAAGCCCACCAAAGTTAAGGTTTTCTCCTCAAAGTAAGTGTGTCTATTTGTATTAGCTAGAGCACTTTAAACACAAAGGAGAAACTCTTATTGCCCCGACACCCTGGGTTGATTCTTAGAGAGCCAGCAACATCTAAGGATGTGGGTGTGGACCACAGTGAGATCAAGAATTCCACCTCAGCATAATTTCATGAGGGGCTACACCCAGTCGTAGCTGGGGAGACCTCAGGGAAGAAAGACTGTTCTAGGGGCAGGCCTTCCTTTGCCCCTCTCTTCTTCCCTCCCCTCCTGTCTTCTTTTCTTCTTTGTTTCCTCCATGCATGCAAACATTTGTGCATACCTTTTAAGACAAAGTCACTCTACTGGTATTCTGTTGGATTAGAAACTCAGCTTCAGGAGAGTAGATATCTTTGACTGTTTGCTCACTGATGGATACTTTGAACAGTTCCTGGCATGCAACTGCTTAGTAAATATTTGCTTAATGAAAGAATTTCTGGGTTGTATAATAGATATGACATGGAATCAATCCCCATGGAATTTAGAATATTTTCAAGACAATAATCTATGACATGAAGTAGACCAGAATATGGGTCTGAGAATGGAAATTTGAATATAGTATTAGTGAAGTATTTTGGGGCTGGGGAAAGAAACATCATAGAGGATACAGACTTGGAGCAGACCCTAGAAGATAAGAAAGACTTTGACAAGCAGAGAGGAGAAGAAACTATGTGAAGGAAAGCACAGGGTTGGAAAATCCTGGGTGTGGGTATTTTGGGGGGAAAATGATCCTGTCTTATAGGCATATTAAAAAAAAAAATTCTGTGGTCACTTACTTTATTAGGTAGCCAGTACAGTGTTGTTTACAATTTTTTTAATGGAGTATTTGAACACAGCCAGACTTGGGAGGATTTTGAATAGGCTACTCAGTGTAGAAATATTTTGAAGGCTGAGGGATTGGCAGCTAGGAGACTAGCGGGTGTGTTCTAACAGTCTCCAAGACAAGCAACGATTGGATGACTCAAGAGAGTGAGGATAGGAGGGGCTCATGATGATTCTGGAGGACTCTGCCTTTAGGGAACTAAGGTAGAGAGAAGAGGGCTGGATGACTTGTGGACTTCCGGCATGAGAGTAGTAGCCTCCCAGAAGTAGGAAAGTCATGAGAAAGAGTGGTGTCAGAATGAAGGGAACCATTTGTTTTGGGGAATAAAGGAAAGAGTTTAGGGCTGGTCGGAGATGCAGTTTCAGAGGCATTTGGAGTTTTAAGAAGACTCTTTGTGGTGTCCGTTTGTAAGAAGGGGAAGAGGAGATAGTGCATCATTAGAAAAGAGGGGAAAGAAATGCATACTGGATGCTGAGAAGAAGAGTTGAGGAAGGAGAGGTCAAATGTATCAGCTGGTGCAGAATAGATAAGGAAGGGGGAGTGAAGTAACCATTGCCTCTGGTGGCTAAGATGCTCTAAAGAATATTTTCAAAAATGTAGCATTTGAGAGGAGGAGAAAGAAAGGGAAAGAGCCTACAAAGGGACTAAATAATGAGTTGGTGAGGAAGAAATGGATTCAGGGCTATAAACCACTTTTTGAAGAAGCTAGGCGTGGGGACAAGGGGGGGGTACATTAATTACCAGTCTAGCACAAACTGAAGCTTGGTATTTGTTTTCTTTTTTTTTTAAGATTTTTATGTATTTATTTGAGAGAAATAATAAGAGAGAGCATGAGAGGGGAGAAGGTCAGAGGAAGAAGCAGACTCCCCGTGGAACTGGGAGCCCGATGCGGGACTCAATCCCAGGACTCCAGGATCATGACCTGAGCTGAAGGCAGTTGCATAAACAACTGAGCCACCCAGGCACCCTGGGAATTTGTTTTCAATGATAGGAGAAACTGTATAGTATGTGTCTGAGCAAAAAAGACGGAAACAGAGAGAAAGAAGGTTGAAGATGTCAGAATAGATAATGGAGAAATTCCTTGACCCAGAGGATGAGAATGAGGGCATGAGAAGAGGGGCTAGCTTTGTAATGAAGATCTGCTAAGAAGGACTGAAATGTTGGATGCCAGCTGTCAAGTTGCAAGGACCGTTGACTGGAGGGTGAAATGAGACAGATGGAAAACAGGGATAATCAACTCCAACAGGGAAGGATTCCAAGAGCATGCACTGTAGCAATAGTAGTCTGAAAAGGAAAGTTTGGGACAGAGACAACTGCTGCCTTCTCACCCTCAAGAAGGCTGCAGGAGAAGTGGTGTCACTGATGAGAATCAAATTTATCTTACAGTGAGGAAAGATGTAGGTCTGTGTGCAGATGTCATGAATGCATACAGAAGGTTTGCTTATGAAATGAAAGTGCTCCAAAGGGTGTGGCAGAAGGAACCAGGAGAGAGGTAGGCAAGAATGGAGGGTTATAGGTGAGGGTCAGTTATAGGTGCGAGTGTAGAAGGAAATAAATAGGAGCAGGGTAGTTGTGCCAAAAAGATTGTTATTAATAAGAGGGACTTTTAAAGGGGGGGGGGCAAGAATTTAGAAACAAGTGCCCTCAAAGCAAGCCCAAATCCTTTAGGAAGTCCCAAGATAAATTGAGTCCTCTAGATTCATTGTTAACTGAAATGAGCCCCAAACACTTAATCCTACCTTGTTCCAATAAGCTCAAGTTCCCAGGGAGGCAAGCAACTTAGTAATTAATCCTGGGTTCAGTGCCTAGCTGTACCAATAACAAAGTGACCCTGATCAAGTCATATGGCTTCCCTTGTTTCCCTACCTTAAAGCAAATGTTCTCAAAGTTCACTGTGTATAAGAATCAGATGAGAAGCTTATTTAAAAAGGCATATTCTTGGGCTCCATTACCAGAGACTATACTGGGGCGGGGGGCAGGAATTTCCTTTGCATGTGGACCTGAGGGAATCGTGAGGTAGGTAGCCTCCAAAGAATACTTTGAGAGTCACTACCCTGAAAGAAAGATATCAGGGAAGGTGATCTTCTGTTTCCCATCCATGGAACCCGATTCTATTTTAGTCTCAGAGTTCAGTACTGGTGGATATTTGTCCATTTGTCCACTTTTCACACTTAACTGGGTTGCCTTTCTATCCTTAAAAATGAATTAACCACTCCCACTCCTTAAGTGTGGGCTGCACACACTTCTGCACTCCTTCTTCCAAAGAGTATATTATGGGAAGGGCAGGGAGGACTAACTTGACCAACACTACCTCAGCCAAGTGGTCAAGATTAACATCAATAATTATCCTGTGTTGACAGTATGTTCTCTTGATAATGTTGTGGTGAGAATGGCACTTAACCTCTGTGGTATTTACCCCTAAAGCCCTAAAACCCAATTTAATCATGAGAAAAACCCCAGTTGAGGGATATCTTACAGACTATCTGAGTGTACTCTTCATAACTGTCAAGGTCATCAAAAACAAGGAAAATCTGATAAACTGTGTTACAGCCTAAGTGAGCTTAAGGAGACGTGATATGGTATACTGGGTAAGATCCAGGAACAGAAAAAAGATATCAGGTAAAAACTTAAAAAAAAATCTAAACAAAGTATGGACTTTAGTTAATAATAATGAATCAATATTCCTTTATGCATTGTAATAAACACGTCCTACTAATGTAACTAATACAATGTTAACAATAAGGGAAGCTAGATGTTGAGTATCTAGGAACTCTCTGTGCTACTTAAACATTTCTATAAATCTAAAATCTAAAATTTTAAGGGTTGTTTTTTTTAAAGGCGTTAACCTTCTTTTGTAAAGCTGTGTTAATTTTAACTTTCTCAAGTAGCTGGACTTGACTCAACATAATACTGAGATTGATTTATAACCCACAGTAGATGTTCTACTAGTCAGAAGTCAGGAACTGTTGCCATGGATGTCGTGCTACCCTGGTTACCTTGATCAGCACTTCAAGCTAGATTAGTAAGCCTGTTGTCTTTGCAGCAGCCAGATGATTTGGTGGATCATCTTGGAAACAATTTTGTTAATTTTTTTAAACAGTACAGAGCTTCCTCTTTGACTCATAGTAAGACAGTTCCAAGGGTGTGGTCCATGGCACTGGGCTGCCAAGATGGCAGATTGCACTAAACAATGCATCAGACTTGCTGGGACTTCATTCATCAATGGAGGAGACCTCACTGGCCAGCAACAGCAATTCTTTGCGTTACTTACACAACTCACAGTCCTGACCACAAATCTATTGTCACTGTGTGTGATGCACATGGATGCAATTGTATAACTGTTGTCTTAGTACCATCACTTCCAATTTCCTTTACAAAACACACACACACACACACACACACACACACACACACACACATGCACAAACAGCAGCAAACTAATAAGGACATGTTTCATTCTATTTGACAGGGAGAACCTGGAGATTTGGGAGAAAAAGGAGCTGTTGGCCTCCCGGGTCCTCGAGGCTTGCCGGTTTGTGTTGGATCGCTACTTTTGACCTGGCACTTGGAATCTTCTAGTTCAGTAGATATCCCATTTGGTTCTCTGAAGAGTGCATTAAAGATACCACCCCAGTCTAGCCTGATAGCCTTCTGGAAACTGAGATATTATCCTCAACTTGGAATAGTTCCTTAGCCAGCTCTCCTAAGGTGGCAGCTTCCCTGGTACCAAACATCCTGGCTGGGATGCTTTGAAGCTAAATGATAAACTGGACAAAACTTAACGTTTAGCATCCCCATAACCCTTCTCCCATTCTTTCCTCCCATCAGAACCTGCTCATCAGAAACCCAGCCCACACTCTCCTAGCTCTCAGGACTTCTTACAAAGACCTTCTGCAAGGGTCTGACAGTAGCCTCTGGCCAGGCATTTAGGAGGTCTTATTCTCATCTAGCAAACTGAAAGGTATTTAAAGTACAGGTGTTAAATAGAAGAGCTAACAACACTAACTCCTTCTATTGAGATGACTGTATGCCTGAAATTTTCCCATTCAGTCTTCATAATTACACCATGGGTATTTATAATTTTTAGTCCCATTTTACAGATGATACAAGTGAGCCTCAGGGACAATGCACCGTCTCTGTCTGTCATTGAGAGTTGCCTTTAGTGCCATTATGTTAGTGGCATTATGTTAGTTAATACCAAATGTTAGTGGCCAGCCCCAGAGAGAGAATCCACTTCTTACTTTCTCCTAATCAAACCAAAAAACTGGATGTCTTATTCTCATGTGAGGAAGCCTGCCTCCAGTTTATAGTCTGGGATATTTGTAAATAATGCCTTTGTTTACAGGGTGATGATGGCAACCCAGGTTATGGTAGCATTGGAAGTAAAGGAGCAAAGGTAAGACACATTGACTGGAATCTGGACATTTCCATTTGTTTTCTGTTGCTTGTTTTGGTTTTGTGGTCTTTATTTTTGACACATTCAAGAGAAAATAAAAGCACTGAATAGGGCAGTCTTGGACATTTGGAGATAGATTTTGATAATTTATTTGTTGATATCCCTTGGAGACTGTGGTAAAAGAAAAAACAATTTGATGGCTTAAGGTGCAGGCAACAACTGAAACTTGAAAATTAATTTTCTGTTCCTTTGCAAAGATGTGCGGCCAGTGCCTGACTTGTTCTAACCTGAACAGTGCATCTAATCTTAGCAGTTCTGTGCTAGGCTTTACTTAGGGAGGCATTCCAAAGTTCTCTTCTTAATATGTTTAACCATTGGTAAGAGGTTTTTATAGCGTCTTTCTAAATGCATTGGGCCAAGCAATAACTCAAAAATAAAAACTTTTAACTTTGTGGTGCATAAACAATGAATCTTGGAATATGAAAAAGAAATTAAGATGTTAAAAAAATTACAACTTTGTATTTTGAACATTTAAGGGTCTGGAAGTAAGATAGATAAATTTACAAAACCAGTGATTCCTATACACTAACAATTACCACTTAGAAACCCACAAAAACACAGTAGAGTTAAGATTATCCTTTCTGCAAAATGTTTGAGACTTACAACAAAAAAATTACTGAAATTAAAAACTTCACTAAATGAAGACGTCCAAATTCTTGTTGGAAGGTTTAAAACATTTTAAAGGATCAATTTAATTCCAAGTGAAATCCCACTAGGAATGATGCAAGAGGCTGTCTGGAAGGATAAACAAACCCCCAAAAGCTAAAATTTCTTTGAAAAAAGAAATCACTAATGAATGAGACATTTCCACAGAAATTTTTTTTTTTTTTTTTAGAATAGGGAATTAATTGAAAACAAGTTCAGTATCTGATGAGGAAAATATTGAGTAGCTTATAGCACTGGAATATTAGCCACTCTTTAAAATGAATGTATATGAAGTTTACAATCACGTAAAGAAATTATGTGACAGGGTGCCTGGGTGGCTCAGTGGTTTAGGCCTCTGCCTTCGGCTCAGGTCATGATCCCGGGGTCCTGGGATCGAGTCCCGCATCGGGCTCTCTGCTCAGTGGGGAGCCTGCTTCTCCCCCTCTCTCTCTGTCTGTCTCTCTGCCTACTTGTGATCTCTCTCTGTCAAATAAATAAATAAAATCTTTAAAAAAAAAGAAATTATGTGACAATATCAAGTAAAAAACCAGGATATAAAAAAATCAAAAAGAATATTTAACCCAATTGTGCTAAAAATGCATTTTGAAGAGCTTAAAGAAAATATGGCATTTATAATGGTTCTGGGTAGTGAGATTTTAGATGATTTTTCTCCTTTCTATTCTTTTGTATTTTATATATATTTGAGAAGACTCTACTTATAATAATCAGAAACGAAACTTTAAATAAGTTATTTTCATCAAATGGGGATTGTCAGACATCTTCAATTATAGTCCGTGGACTAAGTAAGGTAAACAGAAGCCTAGAAAACCAATGATCAGGTTTAGGCTCTAGGCTTCTCAAATTTCTCCATTGAAATATGTGTTAGGAAGACTGTTTCAGAAACACTTGACCATCTGGCCAGCTGTCCTGTTAAATGCCTTCAGTAGAAGGAAAGCTGATTTGTAATTCCTCAGATGTGCACATTTATCCAGTTATCTAGGTTGTCATGATATTTTGGTATAAATAGCTTAATTTAGAAATTGGAGCTAGTTTCTCAAATAGTGCTGTACAGTTTAATTTTTAGTTGTTTTGGCCCTCTCTTGATTCAGAGATGCTAAAACCAAGTAAGGCAGCAGGTAAAATTAAAGTCAGCATAAATCTACCTTGGTGATGTGTGCAAATATTAATTTTCTATACTGTCAATTATAGGGGCAAGAAGGATTTCCTGGAGAAAGTGGACCTAAGGTACCGTGTACTTCATATTAAGCAGAGATCAATTAGAAATTACTCCTGAGGCTATAAAATCTATCACAGGACAATAGAAGGATAATTATAAAATGAATGGAGAGAACATTTAGGGGCACATGGGTGGCTCAATCACTTAGGCGTCCAACTTTTGATTTCGGCTCAGGTCATGATCTCGGAGTTGTGAGATTCAGCCCCTCATCAGGCTCCATGCTCAGTGTGGGATTCTCTCTAAAGAAAGAAAGGGAGAAATCTTTATGAGGAAAATGGGGAAGACAGAAGCAGACTTTTTTTAAAATTTAACTTCTAGTTTTTAAATTCGTAAGTAAAGGAAGAAATAATCCTTATTTTTTCTTCTCACATGGACTCCTCCTCTATCATATGTATTTTCTTCTTTGCTCAAAGGAAAGTAAAATGTAAGGAAAACCAAAACCTGAATTCTTCACCTTGCTCAGTTTTTCCAATGTGATTATAAGTCACCTTCCAATAATATGTTAGCAATGATGCCTTTTACCTTAAGGCTATCACTTTTACTAGAAACATTTACTGAGTTCAATAAATGCCAGGTCCTGTGATAGGATCGGAGGACAAAATAAAGGGCAGCGCTCATGACTCAGAGGAGGCTGTGTTGTGGCTGGAGAGACAGAGACTCAAGTCAAACAATGAGGCTGTAGCATGCTGTGTAGAGAGCTATAAAAATGGGGGGCGGGCGGAGAGAAGCAGGGAGATGGCAGACACTTGAAAGAAGACTGTTGAAGATTAAAATGTATATGAAAAACATCTTAATGTTGGAATAAGTTTAAAAACATATTAAGATATAGCTCTTTGATTTTAATAACCATTGTGTTTTTCTGAACTTATCTAGGGTGAGATTGGGGACCCTGGTGGTCCAGGAGAAACTGGACCCAAGGGAGCTAGAGGCAAGACGGTAAGCTTCTTAGATTCTAATGCCTTTCCACCTTAGCTACTTTGGGAAGTCCTTTTCATGCTTTTACAGTCATTTGAGTTGTCACTTGTTCCCCAAGAATTGCAAAGTGTGTGTGTGTGTGTGTGTTTTGAAGGCAAACCTGGGAAAGGGAGATGGGTGTATGACTCATCCTCCAACACCAGCAAGAAGGCAAAGAAGTGTTTGCTTTTAATGAACAAGTTCACCTGTCCTGGCTGCCAAGGTACCATTCTCAACTCTGGAAATAATGTTCGTTTTAGGGGCACCTGGGTGGCTCAGTAGGTTAAAGCCTCTGCCTTCGGCTCAGGTCATGATCCCAGGGTCCTGGGATTGAGCCCCGCATCTGGCTCTCTGCTCCGCAGGGAGCCTGCTTCCTCCTCTCTCTCTCTGCCTACCTGCAATCTCTCTCTGTCAAATAAATAAATAAAATCTTTAAAAAAAAAAATGTTCATTTTAGGAATCCTTGTGGTCAAAAAACAGTTTCACCCTGGCAAAATATGGTTAGTTTAATCCCATTTCCCTGGCAGATTTGGTGCAGCCTAATGTCCACTGGCATCTTGTTCTTCACTGTTAAGTTTTGTTAAACTGCTTTTAATGACGTATACCCTGAAAGATCCTCTGCCCTTTTAGCCTAAGAGACTGTTATTAATTTTTATGAGAGAGTTTCCATTTATGGCTGAATCTGTCCTTGTTATTCCATAGAAGGACTGGGAAATATCCGAAAGCTTTGGCTCACTCATAATGAAGACAAGTGTACAATATAGTCTCACAGACATCAGCATATTCGGGTTCCAGGGGGTTAGGAATGGATTTTTGTATTTGTTGACTCTTTATATTTATATTATGTATAAAGGACATGGCTGCTTTGTGAAAGACATTGTTCTGATAATTGCCTCTCAGTAAATTTGTTTCTTTTCTTCACTGATTGGGTAAACCGATCTTAACACCATGTTAATTAGCAGGAAAAGAAAAAGTGCTATAACCTTGATACTTGAGGTGGTTTTCCAATTTTGTCATCATAGTGAATTTTATTCTGATCCCATTTTTTATTAAGTATGACAAGAGCTTTATGTACAGAGATGAGTTTTTTTCCTAGCTCATTGTGGCTTTTCTAAGGGATCCTGTAGAAGCTTCTTTGCTCTCCTATGTGTTCATTCTCTTTTGCATTACACTTGATCATTTCTACCTCTTTGACTCTTTCCAGGGTTTTTAAAATTTTATTGAAATGTTAGTTTCAGGTGTACAACATAATGATTCAACAGTTACATAGATTACAAAATGCTCACCACAATGTGTAGTCACCGTCTGTCGCCATATAATGTTATTAAAATAATATTGGCTATATTCCCTATGCTGTACTTTTCATCTCTGTGACTTACTTATTTTATGACTGGAAGTTTGTACTTCTTAATCCCCTTCACCCATTTCACCCATTCCTCCACCCACCATCCCTCTGGCAACAACCAGTTTATCCTCTGTATTTATGAGTCTATTTCTATTTTTGTTGTTTTTCTGTTTTTGTTCTGGTTTTCTCTTTGCTTATTCTTTTGTGGTTTTTTTTTTTTTTTAGATTCCATATATAAATGAACTCGTATGGTATTTGTCTTTCTCTGACATATTTCACTTAGTATAATACCTTCTGGGTCCATCCATGTTGTCACAAATGGCAAAATTATATTCTTTCTTATGGTTGAGTGATATTCCATTGTGTGTGTATATGTACATACATTTTATATATATATATATATATATATATATATATATATACATATATATCCTATTGTGTGTATGTATATCCATTCTTTATGCATTCATCTATTGCTTCCATATCTTAGATATTGTAAATTATACTGCAATAAACATAGAGGTGCAGATCTCTTTACAAATTACTGTTTTTGTTTTCTTTGGGTGAACACCCAGAAGCGGAATTACTGGGTCATATTGTGTTTCTATTTTTAATTTTTTGAGGAACCTCCACACTATTTTCCATACTGGCCACAACAATTTGCATTTCTACCAGCAGTGCACCAGGGTTTCCTTTTCTCCATATCCTTGACAACACTTGTTATTTCTTTTTGAAAGCAGTCCTTCTGACTGGTGAGGTGGTATCTCACTGTGGTTTTGATTTGCGTCTTCCTGATGATTAGTGAAGTTAAGCATCTTTTCATGTGTCTGTTGGCCATCTGTACATCTTTGGAGAAATGTTTCTTCAAGTCCTCTGCCTATTTTTTGATCAGATTTTGTATGTGTATGTGCGTGTGTTGAGTTGTATGAGTTCTTTATATATTTTGGATATTAACGCCTTATTGGATATACCATTTGCAAATATCTTCTTTCATTTAGTAGGTTGCCTTTTCATTTTGTTGCTTGTTTCCTTCATTGCACCAAAGATTTTTAGTATGATAATAATCCCAATTATTTATTTTTGCTTTTGTTTCCCTTACAGACAGATCCAGAAGATTAGTGCCTATGTTTTCTTTAAGGAGTTTTATGATTTCAAGTCTTACATTTAGGTCCTTAATCCATTTTGAGTTTGTGTATATATAAGATATTGATCAGTTTCATTCTTTGCATGTATCTGTCCAGTTTTCCCAGCACCATTTATTGAAGAGATTGTCTTTTCCCTGTTGTATATACCTGCCACTTTGGTCATAGATTAATTGGCCATATAAGCAAGCATAGGTTTATTTCTCCGTTTTCCATCCTCTTCTTTTGGGCTTTGTGTCTGTTTTTGTGCCAATACCATATTCTTTTGATTACTACAGGTTTCTAGTCTATCTTGAAATCTTACATTGTGATACCTCCAATTTTGTTTTTCTTCCTCAAAATTGCTTTGGCTACTCAAGGTCTTTTATGGTTCCATACAAACTTAGGATTACTTGTTCTAGTTCTGTGAAAAATGCCTCTGGTATTTTGATAGGGATTGAACTGAAATCTGTAGACTGTTTCATAGTATGGACATATGAACATTCTAATTCTTCCAACCCATGAGCATAGGATGTCTTGCTACTTAGTTGTGTCATCTTCAGTTTCATTCATCAGTGTCATACAATTTTCACAGATTAGATCTTTCACCTCCTTGGTTAAATGTCTTCCTGGGCATTTTATTCTTTTTGATGCAATTGTGAATGGGATTGTTTTCTTAATTTCTCTTTCTGCTACCTAATTATTAATGTATAGAAAAGCAAGAAATTTCTCATATTAATTTTGTATCCTGTGACTTTACTGAATTCCCTTATTCTAATAGTTTTCTGGTGGAGTTATTAGGGCTTTCTATATATAAAATCATGTCGTCTGCAAATAGTGACAGTTTTACTTCTTCTCTACCAATTTGGATGTCTTTTATTTCTTGTCTGATTGCTTCAGCTCAGATTTCCAGGACTCTGTTGAATATAGGTGATGAGAGTGGACATCCTTGTATTGCTCCTGATATTAGAGGAAATGCTTTTGGTTTTTTACCACTGAGTATGATGTTAACTGTGAATTTATTTGTATATGGCTTTTATTAGGTTGAGGTGTATTTCCTCTAAATTCATTTTGTTGAGAGTTTTTATCATGAATAGATGCTAAATTTTGTCATAAGATTTTATTCATTTGTTAATGTGTTGATATCATGTTTTATTTGTGAGTATGAATTAGTCTTGTTCCCTGGAATAAATTACACTTGGTTGTGGTGGATGAGTATTGTTGAATTAGGTTTGCTAATATTTTGTTGAGAATTTTTGCATCTATATTCATCAGGGATATTGACCTGTAATTTTTCTTTGCTTGCAGTGGGCTTTTTCTCCCCAGTTTTTAAAATTAAGGTAATGCTGCCTTCATAGAATGAATTGGGAAGTTTTCCTTCCTTTTCTGTTTTTTGGAATAGTTTGAGAAGAATAAATATTAACTTTTCTTTAAACATTTAGTAGAATTCATCTGTGAAGCCATCTGGTCCTGTATATTTGTTTTATAAGTTTTTCAATTTCGTTACTGGTCATTGGTCTGTTCAGATTTTCTTTTTTGATTCGGTCTTGGAAATGGTGTTTCTGGGAATTTATCCATTTCTTCTAGTTTGTCCAATTTGTTGGTATATAGTTTTTCAGAATAGTCTCTTCTGATCCTTTGTTCCTCTGTCGTGTCGATTGTACCTTCTCTCATATTTCTAATTTGAGTCTTTTTTTTCTTGATGAGTCTGGTTAATGTTTATCATTTAGCTTTTCAAAGAACCAGCTCCTAGTTTCATTAATGTTTCCTATAGTTATTTTTAGCTTCTATTTCATTTATTTCTGCTCTGCTCTTTATGATTTCCTTCCTTCTAACTTTGGACTTGCTTTGTTCTCTTTTTTTTCTTATTCCTTTAAGTATAAGTTAGATTATTTGAGATTTTTTTTTTTATTGAGGTAGGCCTGTATTGGTATAAACTTCCCCTTAGAAGGGCTTTTACTGCATTCCCCAAGATTTTGAACCATTGTGTTTCCATTTTCATTTATCTCCAGGTATTTTTTTATTTCCTCTTTGATTTCTTTATTGACCCATTAGTTGTTTAATAGCATATTGTTTAGTTCCATGTATTTGTGTTTTTTTTCCAGTTTTCTTGTGATTGATTTCTAGTTTCATCCCATTGTGGTTAGGAAAGATGCTTGCTATAATTTCAGTCTTCTTAAATTTATTGATACTTGTTTTGTAGCCTAATGAGATCTGTCCTGGAGAATTTCATAGTACTGCAGTTCATAGCATCAAGGGCGGGGTTTCCATGGTTACTGTGTCTCCATCCCTCCTGCCATTCTCTTTGTGGTCCCTTTACCCTTTGTTGTGTGGAAGCTCTTCAGTTAGCCCTCAGTTCTTTTTCAGGAGGAATTGCTCTCTAGGTAGGAATAGATTTGGTATGTCCTTGGGAGGAGGTGAGTTCAGGGTCTATGACACCATCTTGGACACCTCTTGCCTGTGTAGTCATTATTTATTGGGTTTTAGGGATACAAAATAAAGAATCTGCTCTTTGCTTCCATCCTGCTTCTCCTAAGAGGACTGCATCTCAGCTATAATTCTTTTCTTCATGCATGTTTTTGGATGACTGTCCTTTAACACTATGATTTTTTTTAAATGACTGAAATAATTAGAAAGATAATTGGAAAACACTTTGAAATTAATCCACATGTCATCTGCATTGAAATACCTCTGGATCCTTTCCCTTGACTTGTTAATGAAGTACTTTACTCTCGAACATTGGAAGCGTGCTAACACGTTCAGCTGTTTTTGGGTTCTTGTCCCCCAGTGCCAGATTAATCATTTTTATAAAACAATGAACCAATGGGAAGCATGTGAACTTTTTCTTTTGGCCTTTGATTACTTGAATTTCTTTTTTTCTCACAATTTATCACTGTTTGTAACTTATTATTTCACTTGCCAAGCTGCTTTTCCCCTATCTTTGTAAATATTTCCAAATTTGAAGTTTAGACACTGAAAACTTCCAGGTTTTCCTTCTGAAAAAGTTGAAGTTTCCATTGGTAGAAGTTTCTGTTGTTAAAGTTTTGCCTTCAATTTTGAGCGCCTCTTCAGTTTTCTTGGAATGATTATGTTTTTAGTTTTTCTAAATTTTCACATTTTTTTTTCCTCCCAACCGAAGGATTTTTTTTTGTCATGGTTTTTAACCTTATTATGTATGTATATATGTGTGTGTGTGTGTGTGTGTGTGTGTGTGTGGTGTGTGTATGTGTGTATATACATATTTTTTTTTACACATGCACATACTTTAAAGCAGGATGTGTTCATCTCTGCACTATGAACATTTGGGGCTAGATAAATTTTTTTTTAGATTTTATATGTTTAACCGACAGAGAGAGGGGGAGTACAAGTAAGCAGAGCAGCAGGCATACAGGGAGAAGCAGAATCCCTGCTGAGCAGGGAGCCTGATGCAGGGCTCGATCCCAGGATGCTAGAATCATGACCTGAGCAGAAGGCAGCCGCTTAACCGACTGAGCCACCCAGGTGCCCCAGGGCTGGATAATTCTTAGTTGTGGGGGCTTTCCTGTGCATTGTAGGATGTTTAGTAGCTTCCTTGGCCTCTACCCACTAGATGTCAGTGGCACTGCCCTTCTCCACCCTTCCCCATTATAAGAGACAAAAATGTCTCCAGACATTGTCAAATTTCCCCTTAGAGGTGGGGGGAGAGGCACAAAGTTCTCCCTAGCTGAGAACCACTAATTTAAAGAGTCAAATAATTTTACTAAGTTTCATACGAGGTGGGGGAAAAAGGCCATCTATCTGCCCCTTATCTCTTTCTTCTCTCCTGTTTCTCAGGTTGTCTTTTTTGCTCTACTTTTCTGGGAGATTTCTTTTTTTTTTTTTTTAAAGATTTTATTTATTTATTTGACAGAGAGAGAGATCACAAGTAGGCAGAGAGGCAGGCAGAGAGAGAGGAGGAAGCAGGCTCCCCACTGAGCAGAAAGCCCCATGTGGAGCTCGATCCCAGGACGTTGAGATCATGACCTGAGCCAAAGGCAGAGGCTCAACCTACTGAGCCACCCAGGCACCCCCTTTTCTGGGAGATTTCTTTGACTATTTCACAATGCTCCTCTCGTGATTTAATTTTAAAGAGCTTGTTTTGTTCTCCAAATGTTTTTTACACTATCTTGTCTCGTTTCATGGTTGAAACAACTTCTCTTAATTTTCTGATGATATAAATTAGTATTTTTATGGCTTCTTTGTCCAACACAATCTTTTTCCTGCAGTTTTGTTTTTTCTGTATTGATGTCTATACCTAGCGTGTCTGGAGAATGGGCTATCTCTTCCTATTTAAGAATTAAAGACAAAAAGGCTAGTTGGAAGCCCCAGAGACATTGATAGAGCTGATCAGCTACAGGTTTTACTGAAGAGTGATCTGGCTGAGTTCTTTTCTTAGCAGACGTCTGATATCTGTATCTTTAGGTCTTCTTTCTTTGGTCAGATTTCCCTGAGAAGACTGTTTCAATTTCCTGCCTGAGGATAAAGTTCTGGCTGTAGTTTTCACAAAACCACATGGAAAAGGAAACCTGAGGGGTCTCATGTCTATTTCACATATCTTCATCGGATCACCCTGTTTTCAGGAGGGTACCATGGATGCTCAACTCTGCCTGGAGTTCCCTGGTGCAGATCCCTCAGCTTTACCTGTGTCTGTTATTGGAGTGGAAAAAGGGACATTCACCCAATTGCAGAGAATGGAGAGGAGATCAGAGGATTCCTAAAATGATTTTCAACCAGTCCTCCTTATTTAGCCCCTCCCCTTCACCTCCACTTTTGGAGGTACCTGCTGCCAATTCGTGAGCCTTCTGGGAATGGATTCTTGGCTTTCCCTGCTACTGGCTTAGGATCCAGCTTTTTCATATCTGTTAAGTCATTTAACACCTGTACATCTGCTTTCTAGCCTCTGGAGGTTTGTGGCTATTATCTTCTTTCTCAGTCTTCCACCGCCCCGCTTTTTTTTTTTTTTTTGGCCTTTTAAAAAAAATCTACTTAGGGATGCCATGATGGCTCAGATGGTTAAGGGTCTGTCTTTGGCTCAGCTGATGATCCTGGGGTCCTGCCTGGGATCCGTCCCGCATCAGGCTCTCTGCTCAGCGGGAAGCCTGCTTCTCCCCCTGCCTGCTCTCCCTATTCGTACCAAATAAATAAAACCCTTAAATTTTTTTTAAATAAAAATATCTACTTACACCATTTTGATGAAACACTGAGAGGGAGCAGAAGTCATGTATATATGTTCAGTCTACCATTCCCTCCCCTCCCCCGGGAGGTTAATCTATATCTCCTAAAGAAAATATAATCAGTGAGGATTTTTTCACTCAGCCTAGCACACTGTAGAATACTCAAAGAACATCAACAGTTATTCCCTGTCTCATTGGTAATGCTTGTACAAATTAAGCTGATTTCAGACGACTTCATTTTTTCATTCCTGTAAATGTTATAAGTCCCATGGCATTTTGAATGAACTTAGGAATACTGCCCTGATTTTTTAATTCTAGCCTTCTTTATAATAAATCATACTGCTAAATGCACATGGAAGAATTCTTGTCATATAGCAAGTAGTCAGCAATTGTTTTTATTACTGCTGTTATTCATTTCACTACAAATATCTCCAGCCAACTTCTAAGTGTATTCTTCTTGTTGTTTCAGGGGTCTTATATTTAAATTTTTGTTCTTCTGGGTTTTTGTTCACTTATTTGTTGTCATCTGTTGTCTCATTCAGATAAAAATTTCTCCTTTGATCCAGCAATTCCAGTTCTAGCAATCTTCCCTAAGGAAATAATAAGAATCACAACATATAATTTTTCTTGGTATTGCTTTACAACAGCAGCAAACCTAAATGCCAATAATAAGGAACTGATGAAAGAAATCATGGTACATCTGTGCAATGGAATATTATGCAGCCATTAAAAATGATCCCCTCCCAAATTTAATAACATGAAAACTTCAAGAGATATATTTAATTCAAAAAATAACAGGAAAAGTATAAAATTATATTTTAAAAGAATATATATACATATATAAACATATAAAAATACCAAAAGACACCAAATGTTAACAAGGATTATTTGGAAGTGAAAGAATTGCTGAAGATTTTTTTCCTTTTGTGTGCTTTTTGGAAATCTCTCAATGTTCTAAAAGTGTATTCCCTTTGACATTTAAAACACATCCACTAATATGAGGGATGTCTGGGTGGTTCGGTTGATTAAGTGTCTGCCTTCAGCTCAGATCATAATCCCAGGGTCCTGGGATCGAATCCACGTCAAGCTCAGCACAAGTTGGCTTCTCCCTCTTCTGCTCCCCCTGCTTGTGCGCATACTCACATGCTTTCTCTCTCTGTCAAACAAATAAATAAACAAATATATCTTTTAAAAAGTAAAATAAAACACAAACACCATATGTATATGTATAAATATAATTTTAAAATAAATAAATTCTGCTTTGAGATATCCACTGGGCCTCCAGGAAAGATGGGATCTCCTGGGGAGCCAGGACCTCCTGGACGCAGGGTAAGTTGAAAAGTCATAAATCACACCAGATCCTCTTCTCAATAAAATGCATGGAGTCTTCATTGCCCAAATGTGCATGTTTTCTATCTTTGCACCTGGTAACTATTTTCACTATTTTTCTGCATTTATGTGCAGAAAAATATCCTAGAGATAAGAGGGGGGGGATACTGATTAAATATTAGTCACCATTTCTCATGAGGTAAGGGGAATTTGAGGGAGGAAATGGAAAGTATTGGACTAAAATGTGATCTCTCAATTATGGGTGAATTTTATTTGCCTGGTCCTTGTCCTCCTCCTATATTCAGTAAGTGGTTAGTGAATGAAGGGAAGGGAGAGGAAATTAATAAACAGGGAATAAATGATCCAAGTTGTATTCACATGGAACTTTTCTCCAGGAGTCTGGGTGGGGCTTCACGGCATTTTTCCTCGGGTGTCTTTCTTTGAGAATAGCCAGACTCTTCCCATTCCAAAGATGGAATTGAACATGTGAAATTAAAACCAATTCCACTTTGTGCTTTCTATTCCCAATCCAGACAGATCTCTATATATGTATATTCATTTTTTTTGGGAAGACTGTTGGGATTACCTTTCCGGATGTACAGTCTGAGTCTGGTTCCTTTATCATCCAACCAATGATGGAAACAGGAAGGTTCAGTTCAGCTGCTGTTCAGTGGCCAAGGCAAAGTATGGGGCTGAGGAACTCTGAATGTCCCTTAAGGTTGGGCAGTTATAAGAGATGGATCAGCCTCATCTGTATCCAAGCCATAAGCCTGCTCCAAAGCTCTTCATGCCATTGTTAAGTATTCAGCTCCATCCTTAGATTCTGACAACCCTTGTTGTCCACAGATGGGGCTGGAGGAAGGTGGCCTTCGGAGGTTTGTGTTCCTCAGGCTTGCTGCCCTCACTTGATTTCCCCTGGAATGTTACTCTTAACTCAGTGATGAGGATCCTCCTACATGTATACTTTTCTTCCTCTAACTTAATTAGAATAAAAACTTTAGAAATCTTCATTTTCTGAGGTTAGTGCACATTCTGCCTACTGATGAGTGGACAGAGTAATGAGACCACATTTCTTTTTTTTCCTAGGGTGTGAAAGGGGCCAGAGGACTGGCTTCGTTTTCTGTATGTATCTCCTGACTCCAACAGAATGCTCTGTACTCCATTAAATTTATTTATTTTTAGACTTGAAGACCTGGCAGTCAGTCGGTTAATTCTTTGTTTTATTTTTGAACTACAGATGTGTGAGCTCATTCAGTATGTACGGGACCACAGCCGTAAGTATCCTGCTTAAATTGATCACCCAAGTTGTCAAAGCATTCACAGAAGAAGAGCAGTGAATTCTGCCCTCAAAATTGAGACAATTTACCAACCAATCTCTTAACATTAGAAATGTCACTGCATATATTTTGAGCCAACATAGATCGGTGACTAGTAATGCCTTCTCTGACTGCCCTCCTCATGTCTATTGGAACCTGTTCCAAACACTAATTAATGATATGTCTAGGGCTTTTAACCTAGGGGAAATTGAGGCATGAGGTCAGAACTCTTCTGATGGTGAAATCAATCAATGGAGAGTCACACTGAACTTCTAAAAATGATTAACACCAGACAATAACACAGGATTGAATTCACCTGGTGTGAAAGCTAGCTGTGATAACAAGGTGTCCTGATGGGTGGGAGCACTTACTTCGGTTTATTGTTTATTACTTCTTTTCTAGAAAGGTATGCTTAATTACTTTTCATTGAATGATTGATTTGCTTGTAATATTATTGATTTTTGCCTTCATATTTTTTCTCTCTCCCAATTTTTAAAGCAAAAAGGCATTTATTTTGGCAAATGCTCTTTTGAATTTGCTTTAAGACTCCTGTAGCAGCATCTTCTATCAAAATATATGTTAGCACCATTAAAGGAATTCCACATACAAGATGAGCAAAGAATTGACTATTTAGTGTTTATTTACAAACGTAAATAAACACTATGACTTCCCAAATAAACACCATGAATGATTTTGGAGCCCATTTCTGTAGAGAGCTTTAGTCTCAAAGCCACAGACTTTTTAAAGCTTTGGATGCAGTGTTGATCTCAGCTCTATTTGTACCATAATGGAACCACCCATGATGAAAATCAAAATATATGTGTTAAGTCATGAAGATCTGTTGCTTTGGGCTGACTTAACACAGTTCACTTTTTGACATTAGAGCCATGGGAACTATAATGAGTCAAAGGTAGACCAAGTGTGATGAGACCCAATCTTTTATAATTTGAGAGGTTCAGTACAAAATCACAAATCCAAAAATAGGTACAAAATTATTTCAAAAGAAAGGGTTGTTTAGAACAAGAAAAGAAATCACAACTAACAACTTTTGCTTATTGTAAAAGCACATGATCTTGTGAACACACAACTAGGTCCCTTCTTAGGGTCTTGCACTGGGCAAGTGAGAAGTCGAAAGCAGAACTTTCTGTGGTGATGGAGGTGTTCTACCACACTGTTCAGTATAGTAGCCACTAGCCACCTGTGACTTTGAGTACCTGAAAGGTGATCATTGCTACTGAGAAGCTGAAATTAATACATTTAATTTTAATTAAAATTTAAATAGTCACATGTGGCTAGTGACTTCCATATTGGACAATGCAGGCCTAAGGCTTATTTATGCTTTATCTGCTTCAGGGTAAATCCACCTCTCATGTTTACACACACACACACAAATATGTATCAGTACAGACTATATATGTGCATGTATATAAAATCAATATCTACAGATCTCTACATGGAGAAAAATGAGAATAAAGAGACGTTAGGTCCTTTTAACCTTTCCAAATTCAGTGCACCTCTCTGCAGTGTAACGTTCCTTCCCAGGCAAATGTTCTCTCCCTCTGACAGTTGGCGGCAGGCTGCTGATTTATGGCTATATATTATCCCATTTCTCCCACCCTGTCTTGTTTTTGCCAAGATGCTGGGATCCACCTGCATTTTCTCCAGACCCTTCCTATTGCCTCGGTGTTTGAGTCAATTACAAAAAGCACACAGGGCAGAGCTTCTTCTGCCATGATTTCCCTACACAGTACTAAACTCTCTTCTACGAAATAATAACCCAATCTCCTTTGTTTTTCTCCCCCAGCTGGCGGACATGGTGAGTAATCTTTATTTACATCAAGTCATAATCAAGCTCCAAAATGTCATACATCTGGAAAGACAAGTTAAAACAATGTGTTGCCTGCCAAATGATATAAATTTCATCTGAGATGTCTTTGCTGCCTCATTCTGGTAGCACAGACCTGCCTCCAGTCAATTACACAGCTTTAGCTGAGTCTCACAGCTGTTTCTCAACCAAGTAGTTTGATTTTTTTATTAATATTTTAATGACTAACATTACCATTGATGTTACTGTTGGTTTTTTTGTAATAATTGTCTCCTTCCCTTCATTTTCTCTATTGTCTTTGTAGCCTAATGGTTATGAATTTAGATGTGACAACAACTACCCTCTTAAACCTTTACACTCTATCCCTTCTGTCTAAACCCATCAATCCACACCCTCTGGTTGCATCTTCACTCACTCAACAAATATTTATTGAAAGCATATTATGGGTGGAGCCTGGTTGGCTCAGTAGGTTAAGCCTCTGCCTTAGGCTCTGCTCAGGCCCTGACCTCAGGGTCCTGGGATCAAGCATCAGGCTCTCTGCTCAGCGGGGAGCCTGCTTCCCCCTCTCTCTGCCTGCCTCTCTGCCTACTTGTGATCTCTCTCTCCCTTTGTCAAATAAATAAATAAAATCTTTAGGGCACCTGGGTGGCTCAGTTGGTTAAGTGACTGCCTTCAGCTCAGGTCATGATCCTGGAGTACCGGGATCGAGTCCCGCATCGGGCTCCCAGCTTCACGGGGAGTCTGCTTCTCTCTCTGACCTTCTCTCGCTCATACTCTCTCTCACTTCTCTCTCTCAAATAAATAAAATATTTTTTTAAAAAATCTTTAACAAAGAAAGCATATTATGTGCTAGGCATTGGGGACACAGGGCTGAATAAGATGGACACAATTCTTGTCCTCAGAAGCTCCCATTCTAGCAGAGGATCCAGATGATAAACACGTCAAAGGAATATGGAATCCTATCCTTGCTGTGAAGGAGATAAAAAAAACAGGAGACTTTGTCACAGAATAATGTTAGGGGAGGAAAGAGCTGCTTTAGGATGGAGGGCTCCTCTTTGAGACAGTGACATTGGCATTTGGACTGAAGAATAAAAAGAAGCCAGCTTTACAAGAGCCAGGAGAAAGAACAGCAAGTGCAAGGCCATGCTGCAGGACAGATCTAGGCATAGGAACTGATGGAAGTCCAGTGGGGGAGGGGAAGATTGGGGGGTGAAAAAATTAAGCAAGCCAAAGCCAGGTCAAGTTGAACTTGATTCAATATAGGTTCACATAGGGAGGGTGGATTGTATTCAAGCTGGAATGAGAGGGTATTAAAGTGTATTCAAAGTATGGAAGGAAGAACATGAGCTGATGAACAATTTTTGAGCACTTATTTGGGCCATTGTGGAAAAGTAGATTGTAGGGAAGCATAAGTTTAAAGGCCAGAGGATTAGTCAGGAGGGAGTTGTGTTTCAGACAAATGTGGTGGTGCCAGGAGAGGGCTGCCAGTGCTGTGCTTTAAGTACATGTCAGCGGTTTCTCTTTCTCTATCCTTGTTGTCACCTGTCTGTGCCAAGCAGCAGCCATCAGTGTACAGTATATGGCCACAGAGCCAGATCATGCTTCTGTGTGGTCATCTGTGCCTTGAGGAAGAACTGCTAGGTACCACTGCAAGCCAGCCCAGTGTTCTTCAGAATCTTCTGGTTCCTGGCAGGTTGCTAGATTTCAGAACATGAGTTTTTCAAGTTGAATTACTCTTTTAGGTACTATCTCCTGAAAACTTGTGTTTTTTCATATTTCAGCCAGTGCTGTGAATCTTTTTCTTCCCTTTATCTCCAAATTGCACCTGAAGCTGCCTTATTGTGGTGGTGTTCCCATATGCAAATCACAGCCCAAACAAAAAGCTGGCAGAAACACTTTCATGTTTAGTCATACTTCCATTTTTTATTGTAAAGTTGACATGACCTCAATTTTTTTTAACATCTGCTCAGCCTTCTGAGTTAGATTCAGAGGCTAATAAAATATGTCCTGTCTCCACTGAGATGCACAGTTTGGTTTAGGGTTAAATATTTATCCTTACTGGTCCTTTAGCCTGTTAGGTCACGGAGTCCAGGACCAGAAGGAGATAATCATCTAGCACCAAGACAGGGACAAAGCTCAGCTGGTCACAGCAGAGGACTCGCTCCTTGACCAGCCCAGGCCAGCCTCAAAAAACCTGAGTTTCTGAGTTCTCATCAAGAGCTGGTAGGCCTCATTTTGCTTTTATTATCTCTGAATCTGACTTGCTGGCATCTGAATGAGAGGAGGCACCCCTCCAAGAGAAGTTCATCATTGAGATTTATTTCCTTTTACCAACCTATATCTCCATACCAGGCCTCTCCCCCATTAATAAAAGTTTTATTCTCCCTGTACCTGCTGCAAAAGAACTGTCTGTCCTTTGTTTGCTGCTGCTTCATTCAGTCAGCATTTATTAGAACCCTGATAAATGGCAGGAACTAATAATCTGGCAGATCCAGAGAGACACAGTCCCTGTCTTCACACTTCCTGGAGAGGAAAATATTAATCAGATAATCAGACAAATATGAAGTGTCAACTGTGATAAATGCAGGGTACCAGGATTAGAATGAATGAATTGGAATCAATCAATAAGTCTGAAATTTACATTTAACGCTCAAGTTTACCAATTCAGTTTTTCTATGTAATAGGTATATTTATTGATTAAACTTATCTTTTCAACTACTAAATAAAAATATATCCCTGAAAGCTTTCCTCATTCTTTTAAGTGGCATAGTCATCACAATGAAAAAGTCTGTAATAATAATGGCTAACGTTAACTGAGGACCTGTTGTGTGCCAGGCACTGTTGTCCTAAGTGCTTTGCCTGTGTTGGTTCACTGAATCCTCAATACAGGGCTTAGCAGTGGCTAATCTTAGGACCAGCATTTTACAAATGAGCAAAGTGAGGCCCAGAGAAGATAAGTTGCTGGGACAAGGTAACAGGGCTAGTGCATAGTCAGGGCAGGTCTCGAACACATCTCTGTAGCACCTACTTTCTACATCTGATGGGCTATTCTTTTTTTTTTTTAAGATTTTATTTATTTGTTATGCTCCACAAATAAGTGAAACCATATGATAATTTACTTTCTCTGCTTGACTTATTTCACTCAACATAATCTCTTCCAGTCCTGTCCATGTTGCTACAAAAGTTGGGTATTCATCCTTTCTGATGGAGGCATAATACTCCATAGTGTATATGGACCACATCTTCCTTATCCATTCGTCCATTGAAGGGCATCTTGGTTCTTTCCACAGTTTGGCGACCGTGGCCATTGCTGCTATAAACATTGGGGTACAGATGGCCCTTCTTTTCACTACATCTGTATCTTTGGGGTAAATACCCAGTAGTGTAATGGCAGGGTCATAGGGAAGCTCTATTTTTAATTTCTTGAGGAATCTCCACACTGTTCTCCAAAGTGGCTGCACCAACTTACATTCCCACCAACAGTGTAAGAGTGTGCCCCTTTCTCCACATCATCTCCAACACACGTTGTTTCCTGTCTTACTAATAGGGAGATGGAGAGGAGAAGGGAGTTGAGGGAAATTGGAAGGGGAGGTGAACCATGAGAGACTATGGACTCTGAAAAACAACCTGAGGGTTTTGAAGGGGCGGGGGGTGGGAGGTTGGGGGAGCCAGGTGGTGGGTATTAAGGACGGCACGTATTGCATGGAGCACTGGGTATGGTGCAAAAAACAATGAATACTGTTACGCTGTAAAGAAATTAAAAAAAAAAGATATTGGAAAAATTAAAAATGAAAAATTTTTTAAAAAGATTTTATTTATTTATGTATTTATTTTATTTATTTGTTTTTTATTTTATTTATTTTTTAAAGGTTTTATTTATTTCTTTATTTATTTTATTTGACAAGTAGGCAGAAAGGCAGAGAGAGAGTGGGGGGAAGCAGGATCCCTGCTGAGCAGAGAGCCCAATGCAGGGCTCAATCCCAGGACTCTGAGAATATGATTGAGCGGAAGGCAGAGGCTTAACCCACTGAGCCACCCAAGTGCCCCCTGATGGGCTCTTCTATGTATGGAACATCCATTCTCTTCTCATTTCTCTGAAATCATTAACAGAGCTTTTGGACCCATTCCTTTCTCAACTCCTGTTACATTTCCTTATTAAGTAAAAACATGTATGTTTTAGTTTAGCTCACTGTATAAAGTTCCAGCAATGAACATAATACCAGTGATCCAATTTCTGTAAGTAAAAGGGCCTATCCATGAGCTTTTGATTATTTCAAAGGAATTTGGCCATTAACTTCCACATTACATAAAAACTCAAATTGAATGATACTTTCTCTTGGGCTTTATTTAAAAGAGCAAATTCAATCTTTAAAATAGCATTTTCCTTCAAGATTTAAACATTGACTATTTTAACTGCTCATTTTAGTATTTAATGCTTATTTAATGTTTAAATATTTGCATATTTAACATTAAAAATTACCTTGCCCTCCATGTATCTTTTTTTTTTTTTTTTAAATAAGCATGTTACATAAGGAACATGTTCTTGCCTTTCAGGAAAACCAGAATGCCCTGTGCATCCCACCGAACTGGTGTTTGCCTTGGACCAGTCTCGAGATGTCACCAAGCAGGAATTTGAGCGCATGAAGGAGCTGATGACTTCCCTGGTGAGGGGCGTCAGGATCCGGGAGAACAGCTGCCCGGTGGGCGCACGCATCGCCGTCCTCACCTACACCTCTCACGCCCGACACCTCATCCGCTTCTCAGACGCCTACAAGAAGAGCAAGCTCCTCAGGGAGATTGAAGCTATTCCTTACGAGAGGTCCTCAGACAGCAGGGAGATCGGCAAAGTGATGAGGTTTATCTCCAGGAATGTCTTCAAGCGAACACTTCCAGGGGCTCACACAAGAAGAATCGCCACCTTCTTCAGCAGCGGCCAGTCTTCTGATGCCCAGACCATTGCTACAGCAGCTATGGAATTCAGTGCCCTTGACATCATTCCGGTCGTGATTGCGTTCAGCAACGTGCCCTCCATCAAGCGTGCGTTTGCGGTAAGATGGTTAAGCTTTCCACATAAATTTTTTTGGGGGGGTGGGGGTGGGGAAAGGCTATACTCAGAAGCCTTTTTAAGAAAGGATTGAACTAGGCTATTTATTTCTGTGTACCAGGAAGATGCTAAGCCCTTTGTATGCATTATCCTGTTTAATTCTCACAAGTGGTATGTAAGGGATGGGTATAAATTACTATTCCCATTTTATCAGTGAGAAAACAGCCTGGAGTGGTTAAACCTGTATGCCCGGGTTCACATGGCTAAAAAGTGGCAAAGTCAGGACTTGAACTCTTCTCCAGTCCTTTACTATTTACTATTCCAGTCTACTGGATTTACTATTCCAGTCCTTCTCCAAGGAACTCTTGAGTTGCCTCTGGGTATAGAGCTACTAAATCAGGAAGGCCAGTAAACATTCACTGATGTCACTTATGTGGCCAGTAGCAATAGTTGCTGTGCAATGAAAGCCAATTGACTTGATTTTATAATTTCAACAATCATATAATTATCCAAATTTTAAAAAGGAAAGCCATCCTAGTTAATATAGCTTCTTTGGTTGGGAAGCTATATAAATAGACCACTTGGGATCAAGGGGACCTTTTATGAAGTAAACAGACATATAACATTGCTTCAGGTGTGCAACGTGATTCAATATTTGTAAATATTGTGAAAAGATCACCACCGTAAGCCTAGTTAACATTATCACCATAAATAATTATAAAAAAATTTTATCATAATGGGAACTTCCTTTTTGACTAAGATTTTTATTTTAATTCTGATATAGTTAATATACAGTTATAGTAGTTTCAGGTGTACAAGACAGTGATTGAACAATTCTATATATTACTCAGTGCTCATCATGATAGGTTTATTCTTTTTTTTTTAATTATTTATTTTGAGAGAGAGAGAGAGAGAGAGAGAGCGCTTGAGTGCAGGGAGGGATGGAGGGGAAGAGAAAGAATCTGGATCAGACTCCATGCTGAGCATGGAGCCTGAAGTGGAGCTTGATCTCCCAACTCTGAGATCATGACCTGAGCAGAAATCCAGAGCTGGATGCCGACTGAGCCACGCAGGCACCCTGTGATAGGTGTATTCTTAATTCCCCTTATTTCCCCTATCCCTCCCACCCACCTCCCCTCTGTTCTTATGGTTAGGAGTCTATTTTTTGGCTGATTTGTTTCTTAAATTACAATACAAGTGAAATTATAATGTTAGGTCTTTCTCTGATTGACTTATTTCACTTAGCATTATACTCTCTAGTGCTATCCATGTTGTTGCAAATGGCACGATTTCATTCTTCTTATGGCTGAATAATATTCTGTTGTATATAATACCACGCCTTCTTTATCCATTCATCTGTCAATGGATACTTGGCCTCCTTCCATAATGTGGCTATTATAATAGTGCTGCAATAAACTTGGGGATACATATATCCCTTTGAATTGGTGTTTTCATATTCTCTGGGTAAATACCCAAGAGTGTGATTACTTGTTTGCAGGGTAGTTCCTTTTTTTTTTTTTTTTCCCCAGTAGGATCCATGTGACAGGCTTGAACTCACAACCTTGAGATTAAGACCTTAGCTGAGACCAAGAGTCAGGTATTTAACTGACTGAACCATCGAGAAGCTCCAGGGTAGTTCTATTTTGACTTTTTGAGGAACATCCATGTTGTTTTCCACAGCAGCTGCACCAGTTCCCATTCCCACCAACAGAGCATGAGAGTTCCTTTTTCTACATATCCTTGCCAACACTTGTTATTTCTTCATGTTTTGGTTTTAGCAATTCTGACAAGTATGAGGTGATATCTCATTGTAGTTTTGATTTACATTTCCCTGATGATGAGTGATGTTGAGCATCTTTTCATGTGTTTGTTGGCTATCTGGATGTCTTCTTTGGAGAGATGTCTGTTCATCTCTTCTGTCCTATTTATTTGGATTATTTGGGTTTGGGGGATGTTGAGTGATATCAGTTTTTTATATATTTTTAATACTAACCCTTTATTGGATATGTGATTTGCAAGTCTCCCATTCAGTAGGCTGCCTTTTGGTTTTGTTGATTGCTTCCTTCTCTATGCAGAAATTTTATATTTTGATGTAATCCCAGTAGTTTGTTTTTACTTTTGTTTCCCTTGCATCAGGAGATGTATCTAGAAAAAAGTTGTTACACTGATGTCAGAGAACTTATTTCCTGTGCTTTCTTCTAGGATTTTTATGGTTCCAGGGCTCATATTTAGGTCCTTGATCCGTTTTGAGTTCATTTTTGTGTATGGTGTAAGAAAGTGGTCCATTTTCATTCTTTTCCCTGTCATTGTCTAGTTGTCCCAACACCATTTGTTGAAGAGAATGTCTTTTTCCCAAAGATTAGTTGGCCATATAATTATGGGTTTCTTTGGGGGCTTTTCTATCCTGTTCCATTCATCAATGTGTCCATTTTTGTGCCACTACCATACTGTTTTCATTATCATAGCTTTTCAGGGTAACTTGAAATCTGGAATTGTGATACCTCCAGCTTTGTTTTTCTTTTTCAAGAGTGTTTTGGCTATTTGGGGTCTTTTGTGGTTCCATGCAAATTTTAAGATTATTTATTCTCGTTCTGTGAAAAATGTTGTTGATGTTTTGATGGGGATTGCATTGAATCTGTAGATTGCTTTGGGTGGTATGGACATTTTAACAATATTTGTTCTTCTGATCCATGAGTATAGAATAGCTTTCCATTTGTGTCATTTTCAGTTTCTTTCATTAATGTCTTAGTAGTTTTCAGAGTACAGGTCTTTCATCTCTTAGGCTAAGTTTACTCCTAGGTATTTTTACTCTTTTACCCTTTCCCATTATAAATGGGATTATTTTCTTAATTTCTCTCTTTGTTGCTTCATTATTAGTATATATAAATACAATATATTTGTGTACATTGATTTTTGTATTTATGACCTTACTGAATTCATTTATCAGTTCTAGTAGTTTTCTGGTGGAGTCTTTAGGGTTTTCAATATGTAGTATCATGTCTTCTGCAAATAGTGATAGTTTTACTTCTTCCTTACCAATTTGCATACACTTTATAACTTTTTCTCATCTGATTGCTGTGGCTAGGACTTGTAGTACTATAGTGAATAAAAGTGATTAGAATGGACATCCTTGCCTTGTTCCTGACCTTAGGGGGTAAGCTCTCAATTTTTCAGCATTATGATATTAGCTATGGGTTTTTCCATAATTTTTTTTTAAACATATAATATCTTTTTATCCCCAGGGGTACAGGTCTGTGAATCGCCAGGTTTACACAATTCACAGCACTCACCATAGCACATACCCTCCCCAATGTCCATAATCCCACGCCCCCCAACCCCCCTCCCCCCATTAACCCTCAGTTTGTTTTGTGAGATTAAGAGTCACTTATGGTTTGTCTCCCTCCCAAT